ATCTAGCCTTATTTTCTGATAGCGTTAGTTAGGTTTTTAGCAACTTTTTCGGGATGCATTTGGTACTAGTGTATCTCGTGTGGATTGATAACGTCCCGAATCCGATAATTTTACTATAGTACATAGAGCGTGCGCTATACTATAGTGAACCACCTGTTTTGTAGCGATACTGATCAGATACGCCGATACGATTTTATTTTGGTGAGTATAACACTATATTTTTCATAGGAAAAAAGCGAAAAATTCGCTACATTAAGAGCTACTTAATACCAAAATAAAAATTGTAACTACAATACAATATTATACAATTATTATTTATATTATTTTTATTTTAGTTTGTAGTAGAATAAAATATGTAACTCGGTATATTTTCTTTTTCTTTTATCGCAAAAGTCAAATGTCAATAAATTGTTGTTACATTATATTGTAAGAATACAATATTTAGGGTATCACATTCTATAAGATTGACAAAACTAAAAAAAAGTTCTCTTTTATAAGTGAAAAAAAAACGACTAGATAAACCAAATATTTATAAATAATACATTTAATATCTATTTTTAGATTTTGCTTCTTTCCTACTCCTTTAATCTCAATTTTAAATTGCTATTACTCATAAATGATAAATCCATATTAATGTTATGCACTACAAAACAGTTAAAAAAAATAGGTTCTTTTTGAATCTGATTTGAAAAGAGAGGTTGTTATTTTAAAATTTAATGTTAATATAGTGTATGAAATAAGGTTAAAATATGTTTAAAATATTTTAAATATAATATACAGTTCAATAATATTGACTAAAATAACCTAAAATCAATTTTACCAAAAACTTTATAGATATTCGTTAGATAAAAGAATCACCCTGTATGTACTTATATTTTATCTAATAAATTAGACTGTACATTAAGGATATGAAAATCTTTTCAGTCATGACCATTTTAAACAAGTTAAAAATTCTTAAAATATTTATTTCATCTTTTGCATGCAAGACCTAAATGAATCCTACATTATACAGGCTATACAATATTTTAATAATACATAATCAGTAATTACTCGACATAACAATATTTTGAATATGTCCTTAATGAAATATTTACTCGTATTTTGTATTTTATTCTTTCGCATTGTACGTTTAATTACAATTGTGTGACCTTACTAGAACTGACTCAACACCTACCGACTTCCTATTCCTCGAACACAGTAAAACTTGTATACCGTCAACACGAAAATACTTTAGAATGTTATATACCTATGCACTAAACAAACAATCTATATACAAATAAGTACCAGCTATGGGTGATAGGGTACTATAATTTTGACTATTTTGTTAAATACATACTATTTATTTTAGTTTACTAAACTAAATTATTAATCATATATTTTATTAGTACTCCGTATTTTATAATATATTTAAATATACTCAATTTCAAATCGAATAATTAATAACTAATAAACTCCCACATAGATAGTATACCTATATATACCTAATCCTGTATAATATGTATTTACAACATAATATAAAATTATTACATTATATAACCTTTTCTTCCTTTTCTTCAATCGTTTTAAATTAAATTATATTTAAAACAAGAATAGTGAACGTAATTTATCTTTCCTCTAAATATGTAATTATTATGAACAAATAATACATTTTTTTAATAATGTATGTATCACGGAAGGCAAAAATAGACATTTTGGTGAATAGCTTTTTTTTCGACCGATGGATTTATTTTGTTTTTGCAAATTATGTGACATTAAAACATGAAAAAACAAAAAAAACACATGAACATATTGAGGGAGCGTAAATTACTACACCAATATTCGCTAGGCGCTATAGTCAAACTTGAACACTGACAACTTATATAACTGTAATATGTCCACAAAAAAATTAAATAATACGCAACTTTGTAAATTTTGAACATTAATTATTTTCATAAAACTATTCTTGCCGAAGATGATAGTATTATTCGATTCGTGTTTCAATATATTATGTATATATGCGCAAAATTCAGATTCAAATGATCAAAAAATGAGATCACGAACTCCGCACAATGTTATGAAATGTAAAAATAGAAAAAATTGATACCTTGTACAATCACAAAATTCAAGTACAGGCAGTACGCTTATACCTTAATGCATTTTGTTTCATATTATACAGAGTATAGAACAACAATAATTATTGTTTCACCGACAGATCTGTCAAGCTTTACCGTGGGACAAAATATTTTCTATAATACTTCTATACATCTTGTTCTATTAAAATATTTTATATTTACGACATTGTTACCACCAGGTTCCTTTTAAAAATAGTACTATAAATAATTTGAATAAAATAAAATGTAAAAGAACCATATATTACATTGTCCATTCCCCGTTGTTCGCAAATGGTGTTCGTTACAATAATTGATCTTTAGATATACAGTTCAATGCTCTGTATATTTGAAATAATTTGAACAAAATAAACATTTGAATTTTAATTCATAGTTTCATTTAGAATTGATTTTAGTCTTTTGAATATGAAAATATTTAATTTCAAATAATGTAAATATAATAGGTATTAAGAATTAACAATATATTTTAATTATAATTGAATAATAATTTATTTTGTGTCACAGCGTATACAATTTTTAAAACTTACCTATTTATTATTTAAATACTTTATAATATTCGTTAACACGTTACACGTTTGTTATTTCTGTATATTGTATAATCTATGCAACTTGTACATACAATTTTGAACTCAAAAATGTTTAAATATATGCCATATTTTGCTTCGTTTTAAATTATTTTATAAAATTCAATACAGTCAATGACATATTATTTACCAATATATGTATATATATATATAATGTATAAACATAAAGAGAAATAAACATGAACATATTTTATAGAGCGATTGTGTACATAAAAATATAAAATAATATTATAAATTAAGAAATAATTATTTCCAAATGCTAAACTAACATACATATGTATATATAACAATAGGTCACAGAGTGTGTCTCGTTTTCTTAGCTGAACACAACGCCCAAGCTAGTTAAACTACCATGCATTATGAATTATAATAAAATGTTTGTGGTTTATACCAGAAAATTCAGAATAATAATTAAGAAAAGTCAATTACCATTGAAAATAATGTAAATTAATAACAATAACACAAATAATGTATGTTTAGTTGCCTATCACATAAAAACATTATATTTTTACGGTAATCAGAGAAAGTCACGGAAAAAAAAAGACAATGAGTACACTTTGTACTTTTAATTTCTTTTTTTTTTGTTTTTCCCCGACCACCATTAATTTTCTTACCAGAAAATTTACTGAAGTAAAAAATAAATTGAATAAAGTTTTTTTAAAACTAAAAATAAAAAAATACACATTATACAATCAATATTAAAAAATTGTTCTGTATAAGGCATCAATAAACAATGATAATAATATATTCAGTACTATTACAAAAGTATAAAATGCTATTGCTATTATTATAGAATTAATAATACTTAAGTTAACTAATTAGAATATAATAAATAAATAAGTTTGTTTTTCCGTGAATTATTTTCGGTAATTTTTTTTACTACATTCATTTTTTACTACCTGTCCCGCTCGGCATTTTCCGTGTTAGTATCAATGCAAAAAAAAAAAAATAAAAATGTGTTTCCCCGTTTATATCCCCGACCCAGTCCCTGTAATTAATCGTTTTTATATATGTATTATAATAATATATATTGTGTACGTCCATTTATCCTTTGATATATTTAAAGAATGCATTTTATGTTTTGATATAGATCACAAAAAATGTTTTTAGGTGTACATAAAAAATAATTTGTTACCTACGTTAAGTTAAGTTAGGTCACATGGTCATCTCAGCTATAAAATCATCAGTAAATACTTTGATGTCATTTGGCTATTATTTTGCAAAAGTATTTACCGTTTCACTGATTTTTTTTATATTCAGCTCAAAACATTTAGTCGGCAAAATATTTAAAATTTTTGAAATTAGTTCCCGGTGTTCAAGAAATCTTATTTTTAACTACATTGATAAGTGGTCCAAAAAAGGAAGAAATATGAACCGACGGAAATTGACGGGTTGGCTGTGTGAAAGTATGATTAATATTGAACAATGGAATTTCTAGAATTATCTATATTCTAGATAATACGGGACAAATTAGACAAATATGGATTTAAATGTTATTCCTGGTCTAGAGCTACTCGTATATTACAAAGTTTCAACTATATCCGTTTAGACGTTTTTGGTGTGAAGAGGTAATATACATTCAAACAAACTTTTGCATTTATATTATTATTTACATAAGGTAAAACTATATAAGTTGCCCTAATAAAGGTGATTTCAGAAATATAAAGAGGTACACATCGTACTTTAAAAACCTACGTACCTAATTAAATAATTAAATATATATTCTTAAATTTTAAAATATACATAAGTAATAATAATATGTCTAAAATTTTACCGTTTAAAAAAATGTCTCAGTATTAATTATCAGTTGTTTTAAAGGATATGTAGGTTTATAAAATAAAGAGTAATATTACAAAGAAACATGGCCTGTAGAATCTGCAAGTTATTACGAAACGAATTTTTTAGGAAAATCGAATATTGAGACATTTATCATTTAGATTTCAATATAATTTTATATTTCTAAATCATGGATTGAAAATTAAATTCAAGCTATGCAATAAATAATTTGCCTTATCTTATAATAGATAATAATGCTATTATTTTATGGTTAATAATTCAGAATATTTCTATATGGTGAAACCAAATACTATACAATAATGTGGTCTATTCTAAATACTATACTTATATGTATAATATACATTGTATATATTTATGAAAAAACGCCCACTATAGAATAAAATATACATTTTAAGTAAGTACTTACAAATATGGGCAACTGATGTGTATAATGCAATATGAATGAACTAGTTTCCATACCTATTCCCTTTCACTTTTAATAATAATTAAGTGTTGGGTTTTATACGAGATACAACTATAGTCGCTTAGATGTTATGAATGAGTGTGTCTGCAGACTGACGCATACACGTTCCAGGATTGTTGCTTATAATATACCTACGAAGTTTACTATTAAATCTTCGATTTTCCAAAAAAAAAAAAAAACATGAAAATTCCATTTACATTATCAATTTTTTTTTCCTTTGTTTACATCATCGTCACGATATTCGTCGAGTCAACCGAATCGACTATGTACACGAAACACGGCCAATATCTGGAAGCCGGTACTTAATTTATATTATTTTACAAATAAAAATTCAACATAGTAAGTAAATAATTTAGTTATCTCTATATTAATAACATTTACTTGTGTTTAGTTTTAGAACCGATATCGTCGACGATTGAATCCATTCCTATGTATAAATTATCACGCGGTTTCGAGATCGGTTCGACCAAAGAAAATATTGATAAAACAACATTATTGACCGGTAAGATTCTATAGAAGAACAACGTTAATTATTTATAAATGAAGCGGTGCTTTTCTTATAATGTGGTCTACATTACAATTACCTATACCTCGATTTTTACGTATGCGCAATTATTGGTTTTAAATACCCTAACAGACTCACTATAAGTAACTAATCTGGTTCAAATATTATACAAATATAATATAATTACTGTGAGTAATATAAAAAATAAAAACAGAATTTGATTATCTTTATTATCTCCGGAGATATTCAATGGGTATATCTTCGTGGGACAGTCTGTATATGAGTGTATTCAATTTTTAAATTGTATTTACATTATTATAGGTAATAATACAATAATTCTGTTTAGGCACATGTTGTAATTATTTTACTTTATTTATACGAGCAAAATTATTATATATATATATATATATATCAATATTATAATCAATATTTGTAGACCGCATATAAAAACAGCACGTCATATAAGACTATTGCGTTAATTAATACCTAATTTATAATTTATAAATATTTAGCAAAAAATATCAATAAGCTAAAAGAAGTTGACGACACGCAAAAAGAATAAGAAAATGCAGCTTACATACAATTCTTTTTTATCTGGTACCTACATTCGTTCAAATCTATACCAAGCTAAAAATATACCTATACCTAGATTATTACGGGTTGTTATAATTTTTGTTGTACTCTATTTTTTTTTTAGTTTAATATACATGCCTAAATAGTAAACATACTTAATTGTATCTTTGTTTCCAGGGCTTAAGTCAATTTTCTATCGTTTTCAAAACAATTAGATTAAATTATGAAAATATATAGGTAGACTTACAGATAACATAGTTAGTTTTTAAAATACATACACTTAGACCAAAAATTAAAGGGGAAAAAATTCCGAAAATTGACTAAAGCCTTTTTTTCCTAGAGCTAAAGAAACGTAGCTATACGCTCCGAATCTAATATAATATATATATATAGTTATAATAAGCTGTAATTTATTTATACATATCTAATGATACAATGATACTGCTGACGGGCGGTGTGCCTCTGTTTTAGATGAGAAGTTGGTTAGGGATTAGGAGATAATATATATCAGGAATAACCAACATGAACATGTTCGCGAGCCACATACCTATATAAATGCAACATCAAGAGCCAAAATATTTGGAAATACATTTATAAGTTCATATAATTTGATTTAATCTGTACTTTTATAACACAAAAGCAAATTTTGAATTGGATTGCTCCTTACAATGAAAATAAAGAAGTATTTTCATCAAATGGAAAGGTAATGTATTGTTTCGTATGTAACAAATCTGTGTCTACAGAAAAAAAATATCTATTAGATCATCATTCTAAAACAAGTAAGTTTTGTATTTTATGCTCATATTACACGTAATATACTATACATTATTTCGAAAATACATGTATATATTTTTTAGTTCAACACATAAATGCATTACAAAGGAATAAAGAAAAAAAAAACAGCTTTTGATTACTTCTCAAAATTCGAATAGTAAAAATATATTTGTTAAAGATTTATGTAATGCATTTGTTGCTGCAAATATTCCTTATGCATAAGCTGGGAAACCATGTGTTGAAATCATTTTTGGACAAACATACTGGCAAATTAGTTCCGGACGAAAGCAGTTTAAGAAAAAATTACATACCAAATATTTATAAAAGCGTTATAGACCAAATAATTAGTGATATTGGAAATAATTACGTTTACATAATTGTTGACGAAACAACCTATTCAAGAAGTTTGTATAAATAATTTTTTTAATTTCTCATATAATAAAATATACTATTTTCGTTTAGGTTTCGTTATTGCAAATTTATATATTGGTAAATTAAATGGGACGCCTAGTAAATCATATTTAGTTGCATGTAAAGAACTTAAATCCACACTATTTGTGAGTTTATTAATTCCTCGTTAAAAATATTTCCTGGTATTGAACAAAAAGTATTAATTTGTATTAGTGATGCTGGTACATATATGATCAAAGCAACAAAAACATTAAAAACATTTTTCCCGATATTAATTCATATTACATGTATGGCGCACGCAGTTTATGGATTTCTAGAGAAAATTCGAGAATTGTATCCCGACATTAATAAATTAATTAACAGTGGTAATATAATAAGTACCTTTTTAAAATTTAAATACATATGTAACTTATTTCGTTTATTTCAAAAAAAAAAAAAACTTTTCTAAAAGCACTATCGAAAATAAATAAATACAGAAACGAAATGCCGGGTATACCTTTATCACCCGAACCTATTATTACAAGATGAGAAAAATGGTTAAATTCTGCACTTTTCTATGCAAATAATTTTGAAAAGTTTAAAAACGTGATTGAAAGTTTAACAGATGTTTCTACAAATGTCGAAAAGCTGAAACAGCTTGTACAAAATAATGCAGTATAATGTGGTTTAGCGTTCATAAAATTGCACTTATCCAAATTATCCATGAATCTTAAAAATTTGGTAAAATCTAATAGTAAACTACTGAAAAGCATGGTACAAATGTGAAAAAAATTAAAGAAAAATTAATGTATTTAATTGAAAATATTAAAGGGTATACAACTTTAAAGCCTTACTATGAAGTCATATCAGGTACAGCAAATGTTAATTTAAATATAACGTCTACTTTATTAAAATGTTTTAAATGTGGACCAATAACTAGTGTAGACGTAGAACGTCGTTTTTTTGTACAAACGTATTTTAAGTAATAGAAGATTTAATTTTAATGAAAATAATTTAGAAATGTATCTAATTTTCGATTTTAATTTTAAAAAAGTAACATTTATCTAATTTTTTTTATATAACTTTTACATTTTTATAGTGCAATTTATTATGCAATTTTTGTGTTTTAAATGCAATTAAATCCGGTCTTTAATAATAACTAATAACTAAACAGCCAATAAACATTAAATATATTATCAAAGTACGTATTAGTTCAATATTATTTTGTTATGATTAGATTACGAGTTCAAATTGAACTGATGATCATCTCACAGAATTACTGAGAACTGCTCTTACACCAATGCAACCAGATCTTAAGTAGCGTACTAAAAAAATGTACACGAAAAAATCACCACGCAAACAAATTTAGCTTAACGTTTATTTTTTTTACTTATTATTCATATTAATTTATTATAAATATTTGTTTATTAATCTGTATTCTATAGCCTTATATCTATATAATAAAAACATTTATTTTATTTTTTTTTTTTATAAACGTATTAAGTTCATAATAATAATAAGTAAATTTTGGTTTTTGTAAATAAGATTGTAAATAAGTAGTTGACCACCTCTGATATATATTATTTTTATAATATAGTTATTTAATTTACATCTGTACCTACGCAACGATGAATTCTTATTAACGAAAAACGACTCTGCTCAAGCAAAGATGTACTCTAACCAAATTTTGTTAAACATGTACTTTAAATATCATACAATTTTAAGATTTTCATCAAAATTTGAACTTTCATACTTATAACAAAATTATTGTGACTACAGTTTTTCGATATGTTATATAGTGCTGTTAAAATTCCTTATATAGGATATATTTATCAAATTTTCGAGTATTTATGAAAAATTAATTTTTACGCTTCTCTTGTAATTTATGAAAAGTTAGAAAAGGTACCTACAGATTACAAGCATATAATAGCCACAAAAAAAATCGACTCAGCATTAAATTCAAAACATACCAGTGTTTCAATTTTCATCAAATGTTGAGCGTTATTTTACCAAAAAGTAAAAATTGGTCAACATATAATAATAATAATAGGTGCAATTTTCTTGAATACATTATCGAATTTAAAACGAAAAGTGAAAGTCTATCGGATTTTACACAGTATTAGCGATCGCTAGAGCGTCTAGTTCACAGTAGCCCAGAATTTAATTATACCCATTTAAATACACTTACGTATACGTCATTTCGACATATTTTTTAATGTAATACGGTACGTTGATACCTAAAAAATCCCCAAAAAATCACCAAATTAAAATAATATTATAGAAATTACTAAATATAGTTCATCCGCCCATATAAATATAGGTAAATACGCTAAATACGTAAAAGATGTATGACAATAATATTATTATATCCTATGTATTGTTATTAAAACGTGACTTACCTTGTGAATTTGTTATAGTCTTTAAATGATAGTTATATTTTGTATCGTCGTGGCTCGTCCCCACCATCATATTCGTTGTGCGGTTATTTCATCTTATCAAAAATCGGAGTCAATCGCAGTAGGGGATAAACTCATCGAGGAATCACAATTTGCCCAAAGAATCCTTATCCGTATTTAAGTATGGGGCCCTTGCTCCTTGGGCTCAAGATTTTATTTTGGATTTGAATTTGTTTGTAGGTCTTCCAAGGGCGAAAATAACGGAGAGACTAGGGCCACTTCTTGAATTGTGGGGGATAAGGGGAAGGAGCTCTTCTATTATTTTTATTTTTGTTCCTTTACTAATTATTTCCACTTGGACTAGAAACGGTACGTGTTTGAGTAAATAATAATATTTTCAATAAATATTTATTGCTCTATCGTCAAATCAAATAAATTATATACATGTTTTTTTAGAATTTATCGTCCAGTAATAAATTAATATTTATTTTTTTTTATTGCACGTTTGTGGCCGTGTATGATAAATAAGAAATAACTGATAAGCACGAACGACCACGGTCTTAGAAGATAAGGTCGGGAATCTGCCTATTTGTCTGTGTTTATTTTTTGGCCTTTACAGAATTAGTTTTAGTTTACTTTTTTTCTACTACTTTTAGAGAGCGCGTCAATCTGAGCTTTGTTGAAATTATGTTTAAATGTTTAAACTACAAATTAATCAATTTAAATAATTTCAGCGGGAATGCGAGAGAACTGACATGAGTAAGAGCATGGTCATAGAATACCGGCTTTACACAGGGGGATTATTTTCAGATAGTTTTTAACCCTACTCGATTTGTAAAAGTTGCTTGGTTTTATTTTTTTAAGTAAGTGTCATATGGATAATATGCCTAACTTATTTTGTTATTTTGGTTCCAATAAAAATTGTAAGTTTCGGTGTTTTCGTGCCCTAAAAATGAAAATCTCAAATGTCAGTAGCAATATAACCTTCAACAACTGCATTTTAAAAAACTGCTAAATTTCGAAAATGAATTAAATTGCACGGTGATTCGTTTTCTAATAATAAAGAACCTTTTCAACATTTAGGGCAAACATTTAAGGTTCAAATATTTTGGACATCATTAGACAAATTATTATTAGATATTCAATATAAATGTAATAATTATAAATATAATATAATATATACAGGCTATCCCATGAAGATATACCCATTAAATATCTCCAGAGATAATAAAGATAATCAAATTCTGTTGTTATTTAGAGAATAACCTACCGTATTACGCAATAAAATTGATTTTCACACGGTTTAGTAGAATTTGAAAAGCTGTTACTTAAGAAACTATTCATCAGATATAAAACGTGATACATTAATATTTTCTGAAAATAATAAAATAAAGTTATTTTTTAATTTAAAAAAAAAAAAATAATGATAATTTAAATTAAAATATTTATAGTCCTTTTCCCTGTGAGTAATAATAATAATAAAAAAAAAAAAAACAGAATTTGATTATCTTTATTATCTCCAGAGATATTCAATGGGTATATCTACCTCACTAATCTAACCAGTGGAGATATGAAATTTCATATATTTACAAATATAAAAAGCCAATAAATAATGGAAAACAAAAAAAATTAATTGTTTTATTTCTTAATCTAAATTTACTGTCCATTTTGGAACACCATTTTTCATAAGAAAATAAAATGAATATAGATGCAAAACATTAAGTTTTGTAATACTTTACAACCTTTTTTTAATAATTAATTAATTGTTTATTTATCATAACTTAAAAATAATCAATATTATTAAATAATATAAACATTTATATGGAAACATATATTATATTTAAAATTCAAATATTTTGTGACTATTATTAATTAAAAAAAAAAAACCACCATAAAATTGTCATATAAAGTTGAATAAATTTGTAAGTAATGTCTTGATTCTAACACACACAATTTTCTTTTTTTTCTTTGTTTTGTTTGTCTTTATTCTAACTTTTTGGGGTCGACCACAATTATTCTAAACGTGCAATTAATCTAATCTCCCACCTTGCATACACTAGCTGTCATATCATTCTTAATCAAATCCAATCACTTCTATTTTGGTCTTCCTCTCCATCTCTTTCTACCTAAATTTATTTACATTACAACTTTTACTGGTTTTGATTTACATGGCCATGTCTGTCTATTTCTTTAATTTTGTCTACTATTGTATAGTATTGAAGCCACGCTTAATTTAATTCTTATATACACATTCCTTATCCTGTATTATCTCGCGACTTCACTCATCCACCTAAGCATTCTCATCTCTACTAATTTTCTGTTTCCTGTCCAATACTACGAACCATACAACATAGTCAGTCTCATCACACTCTTAAAGAACTACCTTTTAAGTCTCATTGGAATTCTTTCCTCACCTAAAAAATTTGGTGCTTCTGTCCACTTTACCTAATCACACAAATGTTTCACATCCTTATGAAAGTCACGTGTCTTATGTACAAAAGATCCTAAGTACTTAAAACTTTCAACCTTGCATATAAGAGCTTATTATTGTTGGCTGTCTTGTCTCGTTCCTCCAAATTTATACTCTATTTTACTTCTACTTATCCTTAGTCCTTTTCTTCAAATACTACTCTCCATTCTTTAAAAATATTGTTAACTTATTTCAGATTTTCTCCAATCAAAATTAATTCATCTGACAACACCACACACACCATGATACTTCATCCGAGATGGAACAACAATCTGCCAAAGTATTGTTTAGAACTTTTATTACTGTTTAACAGAATTTTACACTGACTGTAGACATGATTCAACCTCATTTGTTGCCTCTTACAGCAGATAGATGTATGTTTTTCTCATACATTTTTTTTTTTTTTAGTATTGACCACTTAAACATTTTTTTGTTACCTTATGTTTTACAAAACTCAATTTAATTTAAGGGATTATAAATCATTTTTCAAAGAAATCACACAAATTATTAATGTTAATACATTTCAGATTAATTTATTATAATAGTTCAGTAATTTATTTATAAAAAAAAAAAATTCCTAGATTATATATTAGGGAATTTGTATTTTTATAGTCATAATATTAATATATAAACCTAATAAATTGTAGCATACTTACTAAACATGAATTACAATGACCTACATCTTAAGAGGACGCGTTACATTTATTTAAGGGGTTTTATATATGTAATTTTCTCAAAATTGTGGGTAACACGTTCTCTTAAGTTAATTTAACAATAATAGGGTCGTTTAATTTTTTAACATAAATTAAAGTAAATAAGTGTTGTATTATAATATTTGTTATAACTTAATTTTAAAGAATATATCTTCAACCAAAATGATTTTTGTATTAACCTAAATCAGCACTTCTAAAATGTGAATGATTTAACAGGCTCAGCTTTTTAACATTTAATACCTGAAAAAAAATTATATCTAATTGAAAAAAAAAAAAAAGGTTTAAAGATATTGTTTTACTGATGGGACTAGGTGAAACTCATGCTATTATAATAAATATATTTTAAGGTGCTCAAAACATTAGTCAAATTAAAATTTGTCTATTAGAAAGTGCATTTACATCATACCATTTGAAATTCAAAAAATAAAAAATAAAAAATAATAATAATAAAAAAAAAAACTGTTAAATATAACAATTAATATTACTTACAATAGTAAAAGAAATGCACAAAATTCAATTTTTTTTTTTCAAGTCAAGAACACATTGTAAATAAATAATAAATACTCTGTTTCATTTTACATGCGTAAAAGTAATGAAATACTAATGAAAATAAGCAAATTAATTCTTTAATTTACAAGCCACTGAACTTGTTATAATGATACATATTGATAATATATAACATACAAAAAAAAAAACATTTTGAGCATTTTTTTTTTTTTAGCTTTTTTTATAAGACATTAAAAAAAAAAAACATAATCAAAATTAAAATTTGAAACAATATTTTCTAAAAAAATTTCATTTTAATACAAAAAGTCTTTATAAGTCAAATATATCAAAATTTACAATTTTATTAAAGCTACATGAAATATTTGTCTACCTTATTAATTTGAATTATATTTGTCATATGATAAATATTAATACATATTTACCTTTGGATTAACATAAATTGGTCTTCCACCAGAGCCAGCATTCCTCAAAAGTGCTAAACAGAAAATGACAATTATTGGTTTTTTTTTCTAATTTACTATCAGTTAATGAAGTGGTGCCACCACTGGAGGTTATAAACCAGGTTTTGTTTTAAATTATATATAATAGTTATATTTTGTATTAAAATTGTACACAGTTTTTTGTAGTTCTGAATTCACAACAATGTGCACATCACCTTTTTAGTAATATAATATCCCAAAAATATATCCAGAAATTGGTTTAGATTCATACTCCTTCCCAAAAATAAATCCTTGTTACACAACTGAGTAAACATATTTATACTAAATGTATAATATATATATATATATATATATATAAGGATCAAATTTTCTTAAATAAAATAAATGTTAACATACCACTTTTTGACACAAGACCTGGACTCATTTTTTCACGATCACATGTTGCACCAATTCGCTCGAATACAGACTTTGAAGAGTTTGAATCTAAAAAATTAATATAATTTAACAAAATTGTTTTGACATTGGTACTCAAAATTTAAGCCATTTACCTCCCGCGTATTCAATCTCCATCTTACTAATGCACCACATAGCAAATTTGCATTCAGCAAGATCAACTGCTGTTAGTTTTAATAAAAACTTTAATTTTGGTTTTAATATTAGAGTGAATTTACCAGTTATCAAATTAAAGATCATTATTTTGTGAAACTGCATCAATTTTAGAATCTGAGAAGAGCGGCAATTGGTTTTATAATGATGTTTTATTTTTTTGTAAAGCACTCTTTCTGAAAGGAAATTTAACTGGGGTGGTACTCAAAGGAGTCATTTTTTTTTTTTTTCAAGGGTTCTTATATAATAAATGGGAAAAACAAGAAAATGTACGAAATGTATTATTTTTAAATCATAAATATTAAGACAAAGCCTTTCAAAACATGTATAATTAAATTTTCCGCTCAAATTTGTTATTAGTTAGTAATGATTAATCGTTGCATACAGATATACATTCAATTTTCTCTCTACCTACCAATATTTCACTTACAACAGCGATCCACTCACCGTACAAAGTATGTCTCATTTGTTTTTTTGTTTAGTTATTTTAATTTTTAAATGAAATATAAGTATGTGCATTAGTAAGATGCAGACAGTGTATGAGAGTATATTGTCTTAAGAAGTTTGTACATAATAAATCTAAATACTATTCACAGCATTTAAAAATCACATAATATTTATTTATTTTTTTTGATACATAAAACATTTTTTGTCAGGGACTCTTCTAAAAAGAAAAATTCATACTTGTTTCTTCATGTTTTATTCTTTTTGTAAAAGCACTTGTTTCTTCTGATGGAATATTAGGACCATAATATGTATTGTTTCCTCCTTTAATAGCACGTTTAAATGTTGCATTGGCATTGGGTTCACCAGTTTGTTTTACTCCAAGACGTTTAAACACTGAAGACTGATAAAGATAAAGAATAACATTTTTATTATATAATTTCAAATGTAAAAAAAAAAAAAAGTATTTTATTATTTAATAATTACTTTTCTTGTTTCAGTAATAGGTGAATTATTATTATCAAAATTTGGAGTTGTACTGCTTACATCACCAACACCTAAACGATCAAAAACTGAACTTTTTGGTTTTAATTCAGTTAGTGGTGGCGAATCATCATCACTTTCTAATACAATGGGTTTAACTTTTACTGAAGGTTTAGGCTTTGAAACTAATTTTCTAGTAACAACTTTAACTGTATTTTGCAATGTTTGTGAAGGAATCTTTTTCTTTACTAGCTTTAAAGGTATTTCTTCTTCTTCACTCTCGCTTGAAACTTTAACTCTCTTGGTAATTACTTTTTTTACTTTGTTAGCAACTTAATAAATAAAAAATAAGTAAATAATCATTAATATAATATTATTTAAAACTATTATTATTTACCATTTTTTTTTTTTATAGGAGCAGCAGATGCAATTTCATTGATTTCACTTTGGTTTCTTTTAGTAGTTGAATTCTCGCCTCCAATTGAAGTATAAATATCATAAAAACCCTTAAAATAAATAAATAAAATTTATTTTTTTTTTTAAAAAAAAGAAATTGATTAATAAAAATATTCACTGCTCAAGCTCAAAGTTTACCATAAAAATTACCTCTCTGTAAACATCTTTTGCGTGTTTAAGTATTGCTATAATATCACCAATTACTGTTATGCCCATTTCTTTAAGAATATCTTTTTCTAAATCCATTAGCATATTAGACTGAATTCTATTTTCATGGAAAATAGCTGCATATTTAGATGATGCAAATGAAGGAATACCAGCATCCGTAAAAAACCTTATCCACCAATCTATAAAAACATGATAATACAAAACATACTGAGTGATCAACATAAACAACATTAGACACTCATTATTTGGAATTAGTGTTTTGAACATTTAAAAGACAAGTAGTACAAAAATTTTACAAAAATGTTATTTTTTTGTCAGTCTTATTTTTGAGAACAAAATCAGTACTCACTTTTGATAATCAAATAAAAATCTATATTAATAAAATCCATAAATATATGAAGATTTAGTTTAAATATATTTTGGTGTTGATATTTTTTATTTCCATCAACCTATTGAGGAGATATTCTACTTTTAAATCTGTTGTTTCATGAGTAAGTTAAATTAAGTTAGATTAGATTAGTTGAGAGATATACTAATTTTAAAAGACTGATTCTAAAACAAAATAATTCTATAACATCGGCTAAGTAGAAATATATAGTGATAAATAAAATATAATATAATAAGTTTAACATAAATATCAGTATTTTTTTTTATATACAAGTATGTTATTGTAAATTGTACAAATAGTACTTACACGAATACACCCAATTTGATTCTAATTAGGCCACCCCCATCCTAAACTTCCACTTGATCCAATCTCCCACTTTGTATATCCTTTTTAACTTCATCCATTACAACAGAAAATAAGTAAGGCTCAAGGCAGTCTCCTGATACACACCTACTCTAACCCCAAAATCCTCAAATATTCCACAGACATTTCTTACACTCGTATTTAAACCTTCATACATATCCTCTATTAAACTATTTTACAACCTCGGAATTCTTTTTCTCACTTATACTCATTATCTGGGCAGTCAGTCATATTCCTTCTCTAATTCTATAAAAGTCATTCAAAAGTTATTGTTTTTCTTGCTGTACTTATCTATAATCTGTCTATCAAAAATATTAGTTCCATTATTAATCTTCCTGACATAAAACCAAACTGGTTCTTAGATATTGATGTCTCACTTCTAATTATCTTTTCTCATATTTTCATACTATGACTCATCAATTTTATTCCTCTAAAATTCTACACTCTTGTACATCTCCTTTTTCTTTAATAATAGGTATAATAAAACTCTTCTTCAACTCGTCTGACATTTTCTCTTCTACTAACACTTCCATCCCTTGCTTAGCTCCCCTAATATTCACACTTTCACTGGTACACCATCTAGAATATTTGTCCTATAGTGAATATGAGAGGGGAAAGTTGCCATTTGAATAAAATAGAGGAAAGAGCTTGAAGACAGGACAGAGAGTTAGTGGCGACGAGAAACTTTTTTGATCCACCATAAGTTATACTTCATTTATATTTCTCTCATTAATTTCCACTAGTGATCCTCGACTCTATTCTCCCTCTGTTATTTTTATTTTTGCGCACTTTCTTCCCACAACATCAAAACTTCATGAACATTACGCTATGTTGTGTTGTAACACTCTTAACAGGTATTACTTTATATTCTTTTGATTAACATTTTCCCTCTTCCACATATAATAATTACTTTGTGATTATTTCCTCCAATCTTAAAAGTTAAATAATGTTCTTCCTAAAATACATGTTAATAACTGCAAGATCATATGTTAATTACAAAATCTAGAATTCTTTCCCCAGTCTAATTTCTCTCCAAAAACCCATACCTTCCATGTCTTCTCACTACCAACATGTCGATTCATATCGCCACTAATACACCATCTATATTTCCTGTTATACCTCACATTACCTCATCGCCAAGATTAATAAACCTCTCTCTTCACATCTTACATGTGGATAATACGAGCTTAATACATTCATTACCTTTTTGTCGTAACATCAGCTTCACTACTATTATTCTATCTCTCTTGATACATCTATTACTATACTTTATAATAAATCTTTATCTACTATTATACTCCCACCATTCCTTGTATTAGTCCTACCTAAATAAAAAAATTTCAAATTATTGAATTTTAATTTGTTTTCAATTTGTTAATTTGTAATTTGACATTACCTTTCAAATGTTAAACATGCAATTTTCATGGAAATATCAAATAAACATTCTTAAAACCCTATATACTATATATTTGGTAAATATATAAAGTTTCCAAAGCGGCTATAACAATAATGCCAAATAATTTTTAATGACATCTCAATCATAAACCATCTATTATCTATATATTATTATTGTTACTTTTGTTTACATCTAAGTTACGAAGAAATTGGTTTCACAATGTCTGTTTTTTTTATATTTTGGCTAACTAACCTGTGCTAAAAGTGGACATCGTTTCTTGAAGTATTGAAAATATAAGTATTGGTTAAGTATTGAATAACTGTAAAAAAAATGCAATAATAATAATAATTGTTAACAATGGTAAAACAAAATTCAGTAACAAAAACAGAACATAGTATTAGTCATAGTTATACACATACCATATGGGTACAAAAAATAACTATGAAAAAAAAAAAAAGTAAATTGCTAATATTGACGTATGATCCACAATATTTGATAAGAAAATTCAGTGGTTCTCATAGACAATATAATAATAGAAAAGCCATGAGAGTTTATCACAGAAAAACGAACATTTTTATAATTTGAGGTTACAGGGGGTTATACAATATAGACCTATAAACATATTATCAGGCATATTATCTACAAGTCTGTCTCTTATTCACATTTCGGAACGAGACCCCCTTATATTAAATATGGTGGTTTATGCTTACAACCACGGCTATAAAATCTATAGCCGTGATTACAATCAAACAAATTGTATACAATGTGCAGTGTTGACAGATTTGGAAAGAAACGCTTTTGAAAATTTCTCGAAATTTAGCATTTTTTTTAATGTTTACCACGTACGAGTTATTTGCTTACTAGGTACATCGCTACGGTATAACCCGTTTGTTCCGATGAACTTTGTTCCATGAAAACTTTGTTCCACGAATAAAACGTGGAAGAAATGTTTTTTGGAACAAATGATTTCGGAAGAAATGACCATGGGAACAAAAGATTTTAGAAAAAATGTTAATTAACCACAAAATATTTGTTATACAATATATTTATACTACAAACAATTTGTTCCATAGACATTTGATCCAACAGATCTATGTTTAACAAATATTTCTTCAAATAGAATTTTTTTTCTATGTATATAATATAAAACGTGGAAGAAGTGTTTTGTAGAACAAATTTTCATTAACCACTAAATATTTGTTCCATAATATATTTTCTCCATAATCCATTTGTTCCAGAGGCGTCATTTGCGATACGTAGGGTATACATTTACGTACCTAAAATTTCGTATTATAATATTTTTGGTCCACTAGGAAAAACCACACAAACAGAGCAATTGTGCTCCAAAAAAAAAAAAAATTCTAAAAACTAAAGATATAGCTTTTAATAGTAAATTCTATACATCGTTCAATTGGTTGGAATATGCTCATAGCAGTGTTAAAAAGGGGATTTACCCCAAGGCACTAAAGCTTTTTAAAACCACGAAGAGCCCGGATAAATGAATAACTTGAAATTACAATATTATGAATTATTATCGTTATTCTATAGTAGGTAATTTTGTATAATAACACTATCACATTAACTTACATTTTAAACTTAGATATCTATACAATATAAAATCTATATCAGTGGCGGCTCGTGGTGTTAAAAGTAGGTGGTGCACAAAATAATATTCATCAAGCATTAACTATAAAGTAACATATTTTTCCTGTTTTAAATTAACATTATATCTTATTAATAAGTAATTTATAATAATATAATTTTAGTTTAAATTAAAATTTTTAGTTAACAAGTTTTGTACATATTTTTGTTTTGTAACTTGTATCAAATTTAAATTCGTCACAAGTCTAATCAATATTTTAATTTTAAATTTTGTCTTCATTAGTATAAAGGGAGAATTTCTTTTTCGAAAAATTTCCTACTGAATTCGTTAAAAAAAAAAACGGCATGGTTATTCTAAAAGGAAAGAATTCATTATGACGACTAAAATTCATTTTTCAACAACAGATAAATGCTTTACTATTGAAGTGTTTCTGAAGATCTTTTATTGTGTTCCAAATAATCAAACATAATAAAATAAAATGTCTAATTCAGTTAATAACTTCACAGTAATATTGGTAGACTAAAATATGTTGACGAAAACAGTGATCATGTTTTATTTTTGTTTAAGACTATTCTATGTTTAGCTAAACAAGGCATATCATTCTGGGGTCATAACAAGTCTCATAGTTCAGCTAATAAAGCTAATTTTATAGAAATTCTTGAAATGTTTGCTGATGATGAGACAAAAAACCGATTGCGAAGAAGATATGGCCTTTACTGCTCTTCAAAAGTATCAAAATGATACATGGTTAAGTAAATTAAATACAATTAAGCCGTGAATGCAAAATGGGTAATTTTATTCAAAGTATTATATCATTTAACCTCCTATTAATTGTGTCAATAAGCCATTTATAATGTTAAATATTTCGAAAAAAAAAATAGTGGCTTACTCAATATTTATGAATACCAACAAATAATTGAAATGATACCTTTGATTTGTTGCGACGGGCTTAAATTCCTCAACCATTCTATCAAAATATTTCGACTTCTACAAATACTTTTGCCCATTATATATTGTATAAAAACAAATAGACTCAAAAACACGATATGTAATCTACCTGTATACGTTTAGGAATAATTATTATGTAATAGCGTGTAGCCGAATTTTTAATTCCATTAAAATATGGAAGAAAATGAAATGGACAAGTTTTTTACAGGCGGATACTCGGAGATGTTAGCTTTAAAAATGTATTGCTAGATAAGCGCATATCTGTCCGAAAAAATCGCGTAGGTGATCATAAGATAATTGTATATAAGACTGTGTATGTATTTATATATATATAGGTACTCTTAAGAGAATGTTAAACCCGCAATTCATATCTTTAGGAAACAATAAACTCATAGAAAACAGATATGATAGAAAGGATGTTAGCCTTTAATACCGATGACTACGAGCCTATCGCTTAAGGTGGATGTCGTCACACAAACTAAATCAGAAAAAGAAAAAAATATTTTGCCAGCACTAGTAATCAAATTCGACATTTACCACATTCTAATTAAATTCCTCAGTATCTTATACTTATGGGCAATCATTTCATACATATATTTTTTGCGTTGCTTCTGAATAAACCATTGCTCATGAAAAACTATTCTAAGCTAAGTTCGGTGATACAGAATGTATCATTGAAAGTTAAAGTTTGTTAAAGTTTAACAATTTCATCCACAAGTAGCTACAAAATAAAAAAATTGTCTCAAATATTTTGAAAATTTTACTATGTCTAGAAAATGCGAATATAAGTTTACATTCCAAATTTCAAGTCTTTACGACTATTTTTAACCAAATTACAACAAAAACTCCCAAAAAAAATGGTTAAAAATAGCTCAAAAATGGCTAAAATGTTTCGGAACTAATAATGACTTCTCTTAAATACAATCTAGACAACTTGAGATTTCCGAAAAGTTGCTACACGTAAAAATCAGCGCAAGTTTACTAGGAAACAACGTGTCCACAGACTAGAACAAAGAAGAAATAAACAGCATTCTAAAACCAATAGCTCCCTCGTTACGCTAAATCTAAAATCTTACACACAGTTACAAGGCAACTCTGCATGTAAACACCATAAATAAGTCTCATTTTTTTTTCAAATTGGTTCTGTATTTTATAAGGGTTAATTATTGTTAATAAACATTGCATGTTATATAATTTATATTAAATTATAATACCTTTGACATTAGGGTAATTTTTTTACTTTGGTAAACGTTCACAATTTTTTTTTTTTTTATTAATTAATCGACAGGAAAAGTGTAATATATTATAAGTACTAAATTACTAATTAGTGAAAAAATATTCATCAAGTGATAAGTACTTAAAGGTTAATATAATAATAGAATAGTTATACAATAGCATAAAGAGAACAAATAAATAACACAGATAGAAAAAAAAATACATCAGTATTGTAAATAAATCAACTTTACTTAAGGTGGTAACACAGTATAATAACAAATTTTATAAATAACAATAATTTTTTAAAAACAAATGGATACTCATTATAACGTGGTTTGTAAAATAAATGAAACAAATTACAAAAAAAAATTTTTTTTGAAGTTAACTTATTGGAAAGAACATAAGAAAAATGTGAAATTTATCATTGATGTAGAATTTAAGCAAAAATCTAGAAGTGGAAAAGTAAAAAAATTGACCTATTTTATCCATAAAATAATCTTAAATATAATTTTATTCTGCATTTATTAGAACTATATAATTTTATAATTAAACTGTAAAACTTTTTTAAAAAATATTTTCAATATAATAATTAAAAATAACTATGATAATAGCACTTTATTAATGTAAAAACAATTAAACAATATTGTTTGTATTGTATAATACAATAGGCAATTTTAATTTATTCTAATAGCATACAAATAAGATTTGTCTACTCTTAAAAATAACTATCTTTTAAAGCTGTGTAAGGATAATAATAGATTATTAAAAACTTAAAATATTTTGGCAGCACATTTTTTTTTTTTTTGAACCTCCTCCACACATCTAATTAATTACATGAGAATAAGTCTGACAAGTTGTTAATTTAATAAAATAAAAATAGGTAAATGAAGACTCTTCCCTTAAGTTTTAATTTAATAACTGAATACACCCTTATAAAAAAAATGATTTATTAATACAAGTTTTAAATCAAATTAAAAAAAATGAGTATCTGGAATAAAGAAATTCATTTCTATGACTAGAAGTTTTTGTAGAATATATAAAGTTATAATACTATATTATATCATGTCGTAGGTATATGGTATTATTATGAAAATTGAATAATAACTAATCTAAGATTTAAATAATAAAATTAATTTTGATCACCAATTAAACATTGCTCGTTCTTTTAAAATTCGTATACTCCATGAAGACCATTCTTTTCCAGAGATCCAAAGTTCACTTACAGAGTCCAAACCTGCGAGTATCGCAGCACCTTTCCATGTAACAATTTGTGGGTCCAAATCTTTTGGCGAATTTATTATATCAATATGTCCTTAAAAAAATAAACAAAATTAAAATTAACAAACTGTATTTCCACGAATAAATGAAATCAATCAAACCTCCATAATAAACTTGTTGTGCATTTAGTGATATTTTGCTTTTTAGCCAAGCACACGCCCCATCAAATTTGAGTCCACCACCTACCACTAATATGTTGCTATACATTTTTCGTTTGATGTCATCTGAAGCTAAATATAAATTTTTAATTTAGTATTAAACCTTTTTTTTTTTTCACTTAATATAGCAGAAACTTACTTAATCTTTCAATACTTTGTACAATGACTTTATCGAGACTCTGTGGTCGTCCTGTTTCAATGTCGAAATAATTCCCAGCAGTTGCTTCAATTTGGTCAACACATATTTCTTCTTCAGCATTATGTACAGTATTGTTTTCAGTTTGTATTTCAATCATCTCATTCATTTCTCGGCCATTACCACGCCTCTAAAAAAAAAAAAAATAATAACATGAAAAATCAATAATGTAAATAAAATATTTATAAAAAAAAAAATGTACACTAGTTTCTCTTAAGAACTCTTCATCATAAGGATCTTCAGGTAGTGACTTTAATCTTTCTTGAATTACATAATGGTTGTTATCTGTGATACCTAATAATGTTGGGTTGAACATCCCTAAAACTGCAATCATTGCTTCATCACCAACCTAAATTTAGTAGTAAAAAATATAAAATAGTTCTGTTCCTCCATTTTTTTTATTTATTAAATTACTTGTATTGTGTACTGCAAGTGTTTTTGTCCTGGTCGCATAATAGTTACTGTTTTTTGTACAGCACCACATTTATCCAAATTTAAATGACACAATTGTTGTTTCAAATTATCCATTAGAAGAGCATCATGATAATTGGCAGTAGGATTACATTCTTGATAAGGAAAACTGCATCTTTTAAGTAACCAATCAAATGCTTGTGTAATATTCCCTATACAAATTTTACTGAAAATTACTATTTATATAAACAAGTCAACTAATTATTAATAAACATAATTAATTGAATAATAAAAATTGATATATTATTAAAACAAAATTTACAAATACATTTGTATATTGTACTTTTAAATTCTAATAGTAGTATAGAATATATTAAATTTATTAGTTTTACTATGTATGCATTAAATATATATACACTTTTTTCCCCCATCTATCTGTAAACAATTTTTCTATCACAAATCATACTCCAATAAAATAATGATAGGACTGTTTTTGTTGCATTTTGGATCTAATTGATGGATTAGGGATGGTGAAGGTCATTTTTTGAATGTCCAAGTGGTTTTCATAAAAATGGGGATAAAACAGAAAAACAATTATGTTATAACATGGCATTACATATTTCTTCTTCTCATTCATCTTCATCACAACTATGAACCCAACTTAACTTCCACTTGATCCATTTCCACGTTGTCCTTTCATACAACCGCCATCCTTATATTATTCTTAACTTAATAATTTCTTTCAGATTTTTTCTTATTATAACTACATAATTTACAAATACCACATATACTATATTGAATAGGTAAGGGCTCAAGGCCGACCCTTAATATACTCTATTCTAATCCCAAAATCCTCGGTTAATCCACATATACTTCTTACACTCGTATTTGAACCTTCATACACATCCTCTATCAAAAACTAATCAAATTTTAGAACACCTTTTCTCATTAACGCCCAACATCAGAATCTCTGGGTACTCTGTCATAAAACTTTTTTTTTTAATCTATAAAAGCCATAAATTTTTTTTTTTACTTTGCACTTTCTTACAATTTGTCTCATACTGAACACCAGTTCCATTTTCGATCTTCCTAGCATAAAAACAAACCAGTTCTTAGAATGATGTTTCATTTCCAATTATTAGAACTGACCAATAAAACGTTAATAATAAATAAATACAATTTTTTTTTATAATTATTTTCTCATAACTTCATACTAGGACTCTTCATTTATATATATATTTTTTTTTGTTTAATAATAATAATATACTTATTTCATCATCATATAACCAAAAAAAAAAAAAATTAAGTACAATAAAAACCTCTCCAAAAAGCAAAGCTTGTGCTTGGAGTAGGTGAGTTTCTAATTAGAAAATTAAACTGTTAAACAATATGTAATGCTAATTACTATTAGTTAAAATAAAATACTTATAATATATATATATATATATACATAATAAAATGTATTATTACTTATATCTATGTTAAGTTTTTACAGAAGTCAATTCATTTCCCGTCTTAGGAATAACACTAATGTCTAAATTATTGATAAATTTATGTTGTTCAATGACATTCAAACTACTTTTGAGATGGTCAACTTTTTTTTTGTAAGAATATAAACTTATTATCGATTGTATTCATTTTTTTCTCATGTTCATTCACATTATTTAATTAAACCATGAAATCATCAACATTATCTGATAAAAATTGTATGGATTTTTTCAATTGCAACATGAGATGTGGTTAGTTTATCTAATTTAAACAATATTTTATTAATAGAAACCTATAGATTATTCCTGTCATCACTACGATAATCCTCAGAATTTTCATTTTTGCTGGCACTATCCTTACTATCAATATGTGGCTTTCTTGATGTTATATGCTTGTTTTTACAGTGTTCACAACTCCATTTGTCCTTGTCTATTTTGGAAGTATGTATACCAGTGCAAAGTGTAAAAATTAGCTTCGCAGACAACAAAAAATTCCTTTACTAAGAGACAATAATTGAGAACAAAGTTGACAGTACATATTTATTTCTCAAAGTTAAACACTATAATTGTTCAGTATATATATAATATTTAATAATCACTAACGGAAATGTAAACTTATTTTTAAGTAATAACGGAAAAAAAAAACAAATGACTGCACAGTCTAACGATCAATCTAGAATTGATATTTCCCTTTAGTATCCACTACATTGGTGCCATGTATACAGGTGCCTGAGCATCCTTTGTAATTTTTGAGGGGTGCCAGACACCTGTTAGAAATATTAAATATTTTTATTTAATCTACTATAAAAGCATTAAAACAATTATGTTTTGATAAATTATAATAATTTTATGTTTTTGCTTATAGTGTTTTGGGCACCCATACAATTGAGAAAACCGGGCACCCACAATCTACATTTTTGAACATGTGCCTTTTCTTTAAAAATAGGTCTTAAACAATTCTACTAATACCTTATTGAAAAATAATTTTAATTAGCATATGCCATTATTTTTAATTTTGTCTTTTAGTCGAAATTTGTTAAAAATTATTTGTAGAGAAATTAAATTTTCAGTAAACATAAATTTTTTAAACTTTTCTAAAAGTGGGAAAGTTTTAAAAATATTCTGGTGATTATTGAACTATTTTAATCATTTGACAGTAAATATATGGATTCAATTGTTTATCCAAACAGAAATGCTGAAAAATGAATATAAAGTTCCTTTTTTATTTTATCTAGTGGTAGTATTTTTTTAAAAAGCATTTTAGTATTAAATTTTTAGGAAACTTGTAATTTACTTCATTTCAAAACATGTATATAACACAACTTCACTCAGAAGGAATGAACTTTTCATTAGCAATGGTTTATTGTTGCTTACAGATATAAATTAAACAACTTCATGTATCCTACACCTTTCTGATTTTCCAGTTAAAACAGTGACACACCTAACCCTAGTCTCAGAGCTCTCTCTTTTTTTATAATTGAAATTTTATTTATTATGAAATTATAAATGACTGAAAGCATTTTTTTTTAAATTACCTCCACCATAACGTAATCTGATCCTTGTATTTGCTTGGGATATACCGTCTTCAACACAACTCACAGATGTTTTTCCATGACCAACATCTACAACACATGCACAACCCAAACCAGCCCCATAGGTTGCTGCAACATGATCCTAAAATTAAAATACAATAATAATAATATATATTAATATTAGTTTAAATTAAATGTTTTAAATTTAGTTTTACTTGTACGAGAAGGCAAGATTTAAATTTCATGCTTAATAATATCATTGACATCATCTCTCTAACATGAACTTTGTTGAATATGTCAGGTATAATTAGGATCACTTGATAATTCTACAATATAATAAAAGTATAAATAATAAAATAAATAAACAATTTAAATTTACTATTGGGTGAACCACTATATTAGGAAAATTACACAATCCAATTTTGTAATTATTTCTTATAAGTTAAAAGCCTATTGGTATTTTTCCCAAATTTCTGGTAACATCTCGTGCCATCCTAGCGGTTAGAGCCAAAGCATTATGTGACAACCGTGTATTAAGAGGTCACCAAACCAGAAATATCAGACATAGGATTTTTATAATTTTTACCAGTGAAAAGGAACAAAGGAATAATTATATAGGTATAAATATAATCATTGGTTTTATGAAATTAATAAGTGAAAATTGATTTTGATAACATAAAAATAAAAAAATATTATAAATAAAAAGTCAGAATTTTATAAAATTTGAAATTTTTTTTAAATTATAATAATTCCCCTTTCACATTTCTACTGTATGATACCCATCTAAGAAGAAGGGCTAATAGTAAGCAGATAAAAGACAATTTTATGAGAAGTTCAATGATGAATCAAGCTATGAGTATATTGGAGAGTGAATGGGGAGAAATTACCTCCACTATCTTCCCCCAAATCCGCCACTAATATTAAGGCCAAAACTAAGTTTTTGGCTGAAAAACCAGACAATAGTGTAGGAATTGAATTTAAACGGTTTTTAATTTTAATATATTTAAATGTAATACATATGAAATACGATTCACTGTTCTATAATAGAATATGCTGGAATTAAAATTTCAATTCTCTTATGAACAAGTTGAATGCTATATTATACTTTAAGTACATTTTTTAAAAATACAAAACAATTTTATTTCTTACGATTTCTAGTAAAACAATTAAATTTCTTCTTTCAATATCCTAGTAAAGAATTATAATAAAATGAAAACCATAAACACAATTCCTATAGTTTTGTCCAGCTTTAAGATCTAAATCATCTAAAATATAGTCACCAATCTCCTTAACAAATATACATAATATTTTGTAAAATTATAGTATACCAATTACTAGTTTACTAGTTAAATTTACATTTTAAAAGCAAATTTGCAACAACATAACTGATCAACTGTTGAATTTACCCTTGTTTTTTTTTAATAACTCATTTAACCAAAATGCAAGTTTTTAATTTTATTGAAAATGTCTGCAGATTTATATTTTATAAAATAAATAATAAACAAACTTTATGTCTTAATAATAATAATATTTTGTCATCATTGTTATAAATTACTTACATGAAATTCTATAGATTTAATTCCTAGTAATTTGTTTATGCAATGTGTCCATATGGCTTCGAGGTCAGCTAAAACTGCTGTTACTGAACCTCCTATTTGGCCATTGACATTCAACTCTCCATTATTTACTGGAAAGAATACATTATAATCCAGCTCAGGATCTATGTTAAAAATCTGAAATGTAAATAATATATTAAACATAGGTAAGTTACTACCAAAAACTTATCAATAGGTATTTCCGAGGTATTTTCTTACATCTTCTCCGAAAAGAATGGAAACGTCAGGTGTCTTGGGTTGAAGCAGATCGGGTGTCACAGTATCCTTATATTGTGGTATAGAGTTACGATTATAAGCAGCTATTTGTTGTGGAGGAGTAGCATATCTTCTGTCACCATTCGACTGCAAGCTTGATTGTAACATATGAGATGCTTGCAGTCTACTCTCTTCCATGGCCATTTGCATTTCAAGAGTGTTCTAAAAATATGCAAGTTTATTATAAGTTTTAATATAATAATATGAGACTGTGGAATAGTTAAAACTAAAAAGAAAAACTCACTTTATATGGAAAGTTCGGCAGTATTTGATCCCTTCTTCTAGTTTCTGCAAACAGACTGTATCTAGCCAACCCGTGAATATACTTGTGCGGAATGCCATCGCTTGCTCGTCCTATTCTCAGATACAGGGATCCTGGATGAATAACAATCACAGAATCGAGTGATGGTAACTATAGAAGGAAGGAAAAAGTTCAAAAATGTATTACTTATAGAATTAATTTATTTATATCAAAAAAGAATCGTATTATTAATAACAAAAATTATTATATTACTTCTGGTAAGGTGTCTGTAGCTGTCGGCATTTTTGAATACGTATCACAGGTTGGACGAGTCTGATATGGCTTTTGTCGCTCTAGTGTCTACAATATTATAATATTTTACGATGTGCATATACTAACACAGTTCCGAAGTATTTTCAATAAATATTATAAATAGTTGTTATATTCTGAACTCAAAACGATAGTTTTAATAAAAGAGAAAACTATGGGTATGATAACGGATCACGACCACGGACCGTACGAATTGTGTGATAATAACAATAGATGGAAAATATTTTTATTGGTCGTATGCTCGAACGATTGTTGATGCAAACTACACGAACAAAACCATCCAGTTGCCACAAAGACCCATGCAAAATAAATAACTTAAACCATTACTCGGATGTTTATCTGTGGTCCGTGACCTATGCAGTATGCACCCACACGACTTGATATAGATACTTACCTATACTGTGCTTTTGACCTACTGGCGATATTCCGCTGTTTTTAGGAATTTTTCGGGAGTTTTTCGATCGATGAACCACTGGCCGTTCGTACAGGCGTAGGCTAACTGCTAAGGTTCGACGACAATCAATACAAATCTGAGCTATTTGCATTATTATCGCCGCGCAAGCGGATACGTCTCTCAGCGCTGGGCGCGATCTGCCCGCATGTCCACCAGAGTTACGAAATACCTACTTTTTAACAGGGGTTCCAGCGAGATGGAAAAAAAATGATCATTATTCGAACATTACAATATTATTTACGTATTCTGTGTACTGTACGAAAATATTTTCGATTTTTATACGAGAAGCCTGGACGCCACATAGAATGGTAAAATCTGAACAATTTTAATAGTCAATAGGTACCTATATGGAATGATGTTTTTCTAAAATCTTTCGGGTTTCTACACGAATGGGACGGGCACTTTTCAAAATTGCATACTCTTCATACCTACATAAAATAACTAGTTTTGAATTTTCATAACTGGATTCAATAGCGGAACAAGTAATGTGCAATTAACAAGCAAATAATGCAATGGAAATAAACTTAATAAATATGGTATTTTTAAATTCATAACTGCAGAGTTACACTCATTTATAAATGATTGAACTATAACATACTTCACTTGAAAATAAGAATAAGATTTCTGGCATAAAAATTTGTTTACAGATAGAAAACAAAAGAATAAATATGAAAAATGCACACATTATAATATCAATAAATTCTCCGAAACGTTTAGAATCTTGTATTACTAACTTAACAAAGCATAGGTATAATCTCAGGTATAACTAAGGCAGTATAAACATAATATAGTTCTATAGTATCCTAGTATAACATAACAATAAATTAAGTTTAATAAAACATTTTTCTTGGTTTGCTTCCTAGTTCCTATTTGATTTTTTCGTAATAAATAATCTTTTTTCTCAATAGATTCTTTCCAGATTTCAATGCTATTATAAATATGGACGGTTCCATTTCCCCTTCTTTTACTGTTCACTACTTTATTCTTGAACTACTTATATTATATCTCATTTACCAGTTATTTGCTCATTCTTTTACAGCTGAGTACTATGCTATAATCGAAGTGCTAACTCTTAACTCTTACTTTTTGCCTAACAAGTTCTTAATCGCCTCGGACTCAATGTTATGTTTCCAATCTTTTAGTTCCAGTCTTTTTAATTTACTTATATCTTATTCAGCCTCTGTCAATAAGATTTTGTCATTCAGTTTCTGTGGGTTTCCAGACATATATAAGCTAACCATTCGGGGTACCTAATTAGCAGTGCTAGGATTTATATGCAACAGCATGTTTTTTTGCGACATCTGGTTATTGATTTTGTAAGTAATTTCCACGAATCACCTCATGATGAGATAAGTGGCTGTGTTTTTATTTTGCATGTTTTTGCATATTTTCGATAAAATGCATATTATTGCATATATTGAATAAAACGAATATTATTGCATATTTCGATTATAAGAATGCAAAAAGTGCATGTTTCGCAGTATATTTCATAATTAATATTTCGTATTTAATTCTAGCCCTGCTGATTAAAGTAAAAAACTTGATTTTTTGTCAAACATACATTTTGTTTTTATAAATACGATTCTATGGTACAATAGGTATGCGATAAAAGATTAAATAGTTTGACGGAGAAAGACTTCATGAGTCTATAGATTATAAAAAATGCTAGAAATCGACTTTTTGAGTGCAACGGAAGAGTCGCAGATAAAGTTGAAAACAAAATATCTCTGATTTTACAAAAAAATAAAGGGTTTAAAACTTTACAATCAATAAATAAAATATTAAATGGCGAATCGGACGAGGACAATTTCAGTTGTAATTTAACACCAGGAAAAATGTCTTTATTTAAATACGTGCTAACTACATCATGTGACGTTAAATGGAGCTTCAGTCAATATAAATCAATAGTACGATCCAATCGCCGATCATTTATATTTGAAAATTTAAAAAATATGTTGTCGTAGCATGTAATACACGTATTTCCATTATTGAATGTGAATTATAAATTTTATTTCCAAATTATTTTATTTCTCAATAATATTATATTAAGACAAACAGCCAATCACTAATGTATTTCAATAAATAAATATTTTTTTTTGTAACTATATTTTTGTGTTTATCTTAGAAAAATTTAAATGTATATTTTTGCATATTTTAATAAACAAAATGTATATTTTACAATGTTTTATTGCATACAAATCCTAGCCCTGCTAATTAGATACCTACAGTAGCACACACGAGATTTTTTTTCAGGGGAGGGGTTTTGTTTATAACAATTTCCTAGATTACTCACTATTATTACTGAATGATTTTTTATGTAATTAAATTTTATTTTATTCTGAAGAATAAGATATTATGTTGTTGAATGTAAAACTTAATTTAAACAATTTGATGAAATAAGTAATAAATAATAATAATAATGATCCTTTTCAAATCTTATATGTCCTTCATTATCTTTAAATATTTAGTGGGATTTTACTTCGATCCTACAACGCCATATGTCTTCATTTTAGTCCACCTAATGGAATAGTTTGTCTGCTAATTTTTCTTCTAGGTTTAAATATGTCATCCCTACAATCCTAAACTTTGTTTTGTTTAATAATCTTGTCCTACCTAGATTATCCATCATACATTTCAACCGCTTTTGCATGTCACATCTCCGCCCTCTTACGCTTACAAACTTAATCTTAATGATTCTTTTTTTTATACTTTCTATACAGAAGCGAGTATTTGAGAATTCTCCCAAATCCTCTTTGACTGTCCTTCATTATCTGTTTAACACCCTATTTTACTAGTCCTTTTTACCTCTTTAAATATTCCTGCTTTGCTGAGTGTTGCCACTGGGTAATTTCCTATGTTTAAAATATTAATTGTTATTACTTATATTCTTACATCTCAATTACTAAATGTACATACTCTTGTATAGATTGTAGTTTACTTTATCAAATAAAAAAATATTCCTGCTATTAATTCTGAACATGTCATCAAAATAATTATTTCTTTCATTCTTGAGGTTGGCTTAGTCATTTAACTTTATCTTTTTTTCTATATTGTATTTGTTATATAATGCAAATTATAATTGTCAGACTAAAAGCAATTAATAAAAAAAAAAAATTAAATAAAACATTAAAATAATTAATACTTTTTTATATTATTTTATATATTATTAACAAATTTTAATTGAACCATTTGAACTTCTTTATAATTACAATAAATTCTAAAAATGGCTAATAATTTCATTTTAACAGTGAAAGTAATAACATAGGTAGATATTACAATACTACAACTTTTTCAAACAATGTTGGTTCAAGGAAAATTTTATTTTTTTTATAAACATAATATTAAGTTAATATTTTTGTGATTATGTTGAGAAATTCTTTTTCTAATACATTAAGTATAATAATATTGAAACATCCAATGTCATCTAGTTATTAAAAATGTCCACTGCCTATATTCTGTTTGTCATAAGACTACAATTTGCCGTGCATCTCCCGCTACGAGGCTACCACTACCTGAATGCCACCTCGACAACGAGGGCGTACACTGTGAAGCGCTCGTTCTGGAAATACGCTATACTGAACGAGTTTTGGGTACTGTCTAGTAGTTGCGTTCTTTTGGCAAATGGAGTATAGGTGATATTTCGTATATATAAAGATCACATTAATATGCTATTGTAAGCAATTTGTTATAAAGAATGATTATATTAGTTTTGATTATAGATAATAATAATAATAAAAATAAAAATAAAAAAAAATAACACAGTATTATACTCCTTGTTACACACAGAAATGTTATACCCCTAGCCCTCTTGATATATATATATAAATAACTAGATAAATTTCCTGTAATTATTGTTCTTTACTTCTTTCTAATGACATTTGGATTTTATACTGACAACATGCATGATTGTAATTTTTTTTTCATTATTTAGAACGATATACAGAAGTGTAGCATTTATCCATGGGGAGGGTTTAGGGATTTGTAACCTTCTTAACCTAGTTACAACACCAAAAACCTTTAAGGCTAGGCCACTGATGATGTATTACCTTATTCTTCTATGATATGCATGATAAATATAAAAAGAAAAAAATATTTATCTTAAAATGCCATTATCAAATTTCATTAACATGAAATGAGTATAAGTCTCAAAAACTGTAAAAAACATAAAACAAAATCTATTAAATTCTATCATAAGCAATAAAATGTAATTGTGAGTTAGCATAATAAATTTTATAATTAGTTTTTAATTAAAATTAAAAATATGACACACTGGATAGAATAGTTCTATAATATGTGGTAGTATAACAATGCAAGTGTTAATTTTGGACATTTATTACAAGTATCTTAAGTTTAATTGATTTTAGATTTACATTGTGTATATAAAACATATATTATTATATAATTATTGAATACTTAATATTTGAATATGGTTCAACTTTAGAAGAATCAAAACATATCTCCATAACAAACAGCAACTAGAAATGTGCGAATTATTTTTTATTTTTTTAAATTACAATTTAAATAAATATGTATACAATTTCTAATCTTATAAAAATAACTGTATTTAGTTTTAATATATAAGACCCTATTTATAATAATTTAAATATTATATACATTTCAATTGTGTAATTTTTATATTAATATTGTTTATAATACATTGATTTTATTTAAATATTTAGCCCAATCAGAATTACAAGACTTGGGTGGTATGATCCAACCTACAGGAATACTGCTACATTTTGGTGTTTTGCTTTCATTGACAACATATTTATCCCAGTTTCTTCTATTATAAAAATGAATGGTTAATTTAAAAAAATAAAAATAAATATCTCAATTTTACCGAATATCAAGGAATGTATGCAGATCATCAAATATAATATTATGTGATTGAACATTTGGTCCAAAAATGATTTCATCCCATTTAGCTAATTTGTTTTGAATTTCAATTTCTCGTTTTTCATTTTTTTTAGCTTCAGCTTGAGACAGCATATTTCTCAATTCTTCTTCTTCTCGATTGTAATAAGCTAATTTTTGCTGCCAAAGTGTTTTTAATTTATCTATTTGTGTATAAATAACATAAATATAAATAAGGAATAATATAGCAAATAATAAACATACTTAATGATTCTTCTAAAAGTGGATTTCTTCTTTTGTTAATACGGTTTAGAAGTCTAAATTTTCTTAATTTATCCAAAGTATCATACAATGTTAATTGATTATTAGCATCGTCAATTTTCCCTCTGATAACTTTGAGGACAATGTTAGCTTCAATTTTTGTTTCATTTACCTGAAAGTTAAAACCAAATTAACTAAATAAATCCACCAACTTATTAATAAAAAAATTTAAAAAAGACTATTAACATAATTATTTAGAAATTACCATGTTTTCTTTCAATATAATTGCCTTTAAAGAATTTTGCCAAGCATCAATTTTTCTGTTTAGTTCTTCGACTTTGTTTTTTTGTTGCAATTTAATTATTTTTATGTTTGACTTAAATCTCCTCAATCTGGCTCTCTTACTTTTTCTTTTTGATAATTTAAACTTTAATTCCAATATAGAATTATCATCCAAGTTTAAAGTTTCTATTAGAGTATCTAATTTTTCCTGTTAAATATGTATGATCATTTAATAAAATGTTTTTTTTTAAGGTTATTATTATTCGTTTGTGTACCTTAACCAAATATAAATCAGAACAAACATTTTTCCATTCAGTTTCATTCATGGTTAAAATATTTTGCTCCATACATTGCTTGTTATTTTTCATGTTTTCTAACAATATTTTACATTTTATCACTTTATTACTTATTTCATGTATCTAAAAATATAATTTAATAAGTGTTTGTATAATAAATAAGATATTTTGTTTTTCTTAAAAGTACCTTTATATTTGATGATTTTGTATTCGGAATTATTTTATTTTTTTTGCTAGCTATCCAATTTTCAAACCAAATATTAAATGTTTCATCTTTTACAGCATTTTTTACAGGACATAAATATTTAAGGATATATTCTTTATCAATATTATCTGGAAGAGGTGGAAAAGTGCTTATACTCTGATAGTCTGGTACACAATGTTCTTGATGGTTTAAATTGCTAACATCGCAATTATAAGGCATTGGATTTCTTAGTGTTGGTTTATTATACAAAGACAAATTAGGTGGGTGAACAAAAGGCATTTTACAATCTAAATTATATACTAGTTTAGAAGATTGTGAATGTTTAAAAGCAGGAGGACATGTTAATGAAAAATTGTTATCGTTTGTATCAGAAATAGGGTTATTATAAGTATCCTTCTCTGCCATCTTACAATGATAATAAATAATAATAATACTAATAATATAATTTGAGTTAAGTTGTTTAAAATAGAAAATAAAAGTTTGTTAATACAAAAAATTAAAAGAATAACAGACAATTGTATGGTTAAATTTCTGTTTCAGCCTCAGCTAAAAATTTTTTAGCATTTAAATAATCAACTTCTTCTTTTAGCTCTTCACAATCAGCGATAACACTTTTCAAATCATCAAAAGCAGCTTTTAATCTTCTTTGAGTATCTGGTATCATCATCTGAGATTCTCTCAATACTTCTTCTTGCTTTTTAATAACACTTTCATCACTACCTGAAAATAATAATAACTAATAGATTAAAATACATAACAAATAAAGCGGGATTTATAAAAAATATTTTGGTTTACCCAATTATATTTTAATTACTATACTGGAAAAATGAAATTTTGAGGACTTGTTTTATTATTTTAACTGCATATCTTATCGTTTAGTAAGCATTATTAAGTTTTATGTAGACAAGTGTCTACATAAACAAGACAAGGGTCTTAAGTAACAACTAGCTATTTATACAAATAACATTATTTTAATAGACATTATTTTTTTTTTTTTATTTATCTACTACTATTTGTATGAAATTATATCAATAGTATTTCAATAAATTGTCCAAAAAATAATAATAGATTTGTATTGTACAATGAAAACCTCATACCTATTGTACTAGCTAGTTATCACCTAGTACAATTAAATATAAATCAAACAATTTATACTCTTTTTTATAACATATTTTGATGTGTACAAAACTGTATTTGTAATCTTTTATCAAGTATAGACTTTTTTTATATTTATATATTTTCTACAAATTGTAATAATGATAAATTATCAGTGACATCTGGCCAAATATGAGCAAGCATTAAGTAAAATATTACTATATAAATAAATTATATTGCACATCAATAAACTAGTAATGCAATAATGATTGATTGGAAATAATCTAAAACAGTCGATGAGGATTGACAACAATAAAACTTTAACCTAACCTATTATGACCTAATATCAGTTACCCAAAGTAGAAAATATAATCTGAAACTTAAAATTAAAGTTTGGACATATTTTTCAATGACGTAAAAAAAAAAAAACCTTTACTTGTTCAAATTATTAACATTTTATATTAAAAATTAATAAATAAAAAGATTATAGAAATGTAAACCTAAAATAATGAGAAAATCTTGAAAAAACATTTTTTTACACGCATTTAGCATTAATAAGAAACTATGTCCTACAATTCTCATACATACATATTTGTGAACAGTAATTTGTAGTCCTAAGTATAACTCATTATTATAATAGTAGAATTTATTAAAAATAAAAACAACACTATGATAGAACTAAATTCAAAAAAATGGTATAAAAATATTAATCAATATTGTATATTTATAGTAGTAATTAATAGCAATTATAGAACATAATGATATAGTTATAATGAGAAAATAAGTAAATCAGTCAATTTACCTAATTTCAGGTACCTGAAATATTATATTATACTGTTTAAAACTTTTTTTATACGACATTGAAAATGTTTCAGAGCTAGCATAGAGTTCAGTACAAGAATTTATCAATACAACACTAAATAATACATTTAGTAATCAAGTATATATTATCATAAATCATATTATTTAATTATTGATACAGGCTTACACCTAGATAAATAAAATGTAAGTATAAATAGTAGACAAAACAAATTTTGGTCAATGTAATGGTAGTAATAATTATAAAACATGATGTTATAAAATCAACACTAGCATGTTACACAGAAATACATGTGTATATAGAAAACAACAACCAATTAAAATTCATATTGAATTTATATTTAAAATAAATATTGAACAATCAATAAATAATTATACTCATATATTAAACAATACATTAAAATGCAGGTAATAATAGTAATCATACATAAAACCAAAATATTTCTTAATCAGTTAATATTCATAAGTAATCTAAAACATTAAACAAATTAAGTAATATAAATTTCATTTGCTATGTATGCATGTAAGTATGAAAGGATAGTATAAAAAAAAAAAAAACAAAGATAGGTACATATTATATTAATAACTGTAAATAATATTAAATTAATAGAAATTAACAATTAACCTTAAGTATTGTAATTTGTAATTAAAGCAAAGTAATTGTCCAATTTTGAGCTATTCCAACTGCAGGCTTCCGCACAGTTAATACTTGATTATTTGTATTATATGAAACATTCAGTTCTAATGAACTACCACCATTAATCTGTATACTGGCTTTGGTGAATACAAAAGGAATACCGATAATCATGACTTTTTCTAACCATGATTTGGTGCTAAATCCATCACAATGTAAACATTTTGAGATCAATTGGTTGTTAATAAATTCATATTCAACAAACACAAAAAGCCCATTACGGTATTCAAAACTTTCCTCATCATCAATATACAATGATCCTTTGGCAATACCTTTCAGGTTTATTGCAACAATTAAAGTGTATGGGTCATCCTTCATTAAAATTGATGATCGCCGAACCCTTTGTTTGGTAGGAATTATTGTACCGCCGCGCTGAAACACGGGTACCTTATTAATTGGTGTTTTTATTTTCATTAGTCCATTAGTTTTGATAGGTTGATAATTATCTTGATCATACCATATTTCCTCACGACCAGGGAAATAACAAGTCAATTCTTGAATGTTATGTTCCAGTACAGGGCACACTAACAAAACACTACCAATCATAAATTCACTGTCAATATAATTAAGTTGCTCTTCAAAGGGAAATTCAAAAAATAATGGTCGTATAACTGGAGCACCAGTTAGTTCATGATTTTTAAATAAGGAGTACCATAAAGGTAACAATGTATATCTTACTCTAATAGCATCACGAATCAAAAGTGTGGTCTGCTCATCGAATAACCAAGGTTCTCGACGTTTTGTATCTATATGTGCATGACCTCTAAAGAACGGTAAATAAGCTCCTGTTTGGTACCAGCGAACCAATAGTTCTTTATCTGGATTATTAAAGAACCCACCCACATCAGCACCACAAAACGATATGCCTGATACTGCTAATGATAAACACATTGGTATTGAAATTTTCAAATGACTCCATTCTGCCATATTGTCACCAGTCCACACAGCAGCAAAACGTTGAGTACCCGCAAAATGAGATCTAGTTAAAATGAAAGGACGCTTCTTACCGTTAGTTCTTTTTATAAGACCGTCATAAGTACTCATTACTTGCAATAGCCCATAAATATTATGTATATCTCTGTGTTCATAGTCACCGTGGTGAATACAATCCTTTGGCATTGTTACTTCTGGGCCATTGAAAACCGAGGGTTCATTCATATCATTCCATATGAAAATATCTGTTGGACCGATAAAATTATCCATAGAGTAACGTGAAGAATAGTATTCTTGTACTTTAGGATTCATGAAATCTAAATAACTGGAAGACCCTGGCCAACACCATCCTTCATATACATTTCCATCTTTATTCTTCACATACAAGTCATTATTTAAGGCATCATTGTGTAAAAAGTAATTTGGATCACGTTTAATATGTGGATCAATAATAGTGACTAACTTCCTTCCTCTACTAGTTAAATTATTTATCATTTCTAATGGATCAGAAAATTTAACCGAATCCCATGTGAAATATTTTTTACTATCTGTATATTCTATATCCAACCACATAACGTCCATTGGAATGTCGTAAATATCAAAATTTGTTTCTACATCATGAACATCTTTTTGATCATTATAATTCCAGCGACATTGATGGTAAGCCAAAGAGAATAATGGGGGTAATGGTGCAGTACCAGTCAGTGAAGAATATTGTCTTGTAACATCTAATGGCCTGGGACCTAGCATAATGAAAAAATCAATAATTCCACTTTCTGACATAAAATGAGCCACAGGAATGTCTTTATCACCAGTTGATCCTGAAACTAAACTCACTATAGATTCAACAACAGACGTGTGTTGGGGGTTTCCTTTTACACCTGTAATATCTACCCATGTTTCTGCGGCATTTAACCAAAACACTCCGACACTGTGCTTCTTTCCGTGTCCCATTAAAAATGGAACAGCACCATAAAGTGCCATACCATTATACAATTCATATTCAAAAACATCCAAATTATAAAATCTATAAGGTTCACTTCCACTGGTACTTTTTAGAGCTAAATTATCTGCATGTTCTGGGAGCCCATATAGAGAAGTAGATGAGTATAATTTAAAGTCCATTGCAACTGCAGAAGGTCCCCGTGGTTTAGAATCTTGATGCTCTTTAAAATATTCTTCCCAACAACCAATTTCATTGTCTGCAATAGATTCTGGCTTAGGTCGATAGTTTTCAAATTGCATAAGATTTTCATGATTAACACCAATGGTTAATTCATTGTTAACATAAATGTCCAATTTAAATGGAGCAACAGTAATGTAAGCTTTAATATTAAGGTTCATTTCCAATTCTATGGTTGATTCATTTCGAGCCATAGTCATTGATTCTGTGATTGGTTCAGATATTAAAACTTGCACCGGTTGAAATCTGTTATACATTTGATTACCATCTTTATTGATACGGAGACGAAGAGTACTATCCTTCAAACCATCAAGTCGCATACGTAAAAATACATCTTCGTAATCTGTGTTTGTAATTATGGCTTCAAAAAACTTATCGGTTAATATTATACTATCTGGTAATAATTCAAATTTAGTTTTTTGATTTTTGTTCATAGAGCGACATCGTTTACAAAAATTACTTTGTTCACATGTTTTAAAGTTATTACGGTCAACTGAATAGATTCCTGATGCAATGAAGCAAACAAGATAAAGAATAGAAATAAATGACCTTTCCATTTTATTTGTATCTACTATTGCATTATATTAAATAATTTATTTCATATTAACACTTTAAATAAATGCTATAAATATAAGTTAATATACAATATAAAAATGAAAAAATAATAATTTTCGAATAAAACACAAATGACAAAAATACTATTTGACAACTTTAACGTACACTGAAAATTACCGGATGATGAATTGAAAAATTAATTGTTTGAGAATTTTCTTTTTTAGGTTAATGGGTTGGAGTTTTTTGTTTATACAGTATATGGTAAATTAAAATATAGATAAGAATTGCAGTGTACCAACACAATATATAATACACTTTATAGGTTTTTTTTATACGAATGACAATTTGTTTGAAAAATGATAAGAACCGTTTTCGAAAACACAACGATAAATTACTGCTGACGAAAAAAAATGATGAGCCAAGTTTTATTATACATGTATTGAAAGTAATATTCATGATCTGTATCAATATTTGATATTAAAATTCTTATAAAAAATTATTCATTACTCATTTTTTATTATACCACAAAGTAAAACTTATAATGAACCTCTTGTTGAATTTTCAAGTATTACAGTTTAGTCCAACAATTTAATTTAGAAAGTACTTAAAATAAGAATTACATAAAAAAAGCAACATTAAAATGTTCATAAATAGCGCCAAAGTTTTATTAACCACTGTTTTAACTTCTTTTCACACAATTTACCTTTACTGGCTATACTCTCTTGAATTGATCCTTCTTTCAAAATTATCCAAAGGTAGTACAATTTTTTAAAATCGTATTATTTTTCTTTAAATATACAATATTATTAGTCAAAAAATTTTATATTAAAAAAAATCTTGGTCACAAGAAAATGAATTATCAATTAGCCAATTTATAGAGTATTAGTAACCCCACGAGTAGGAATAAAGTATCCCATGAATGTTCTCTTTAAAATACAATTATATTAAATGAATAGTATCAATAGTATACCTCATAACCATTATAGGGAGTACATATCATCTAAGCAATAATAATAAAACATTTTTACAGTTTTAAAAATAATTTAATTGTCTAATAAATCAATGTAGATAACTAGATTGAATATAGCAATGAAATTTTTTTTTAACAGATCAGAAAATATTATTAAATAATTTCAATTTTAGCATCATAATTTGCTTATTTCTGGTTCCAACCTTGTGGTATAATTTTCTTATAACATATTTATGTTAAATAAATAAATGAAGTAGACATCCATTAAATACATATTTTTACAGTTAACATTGTAATGCATGATTAAGGTTTATTAAAAATCACATACTTGGTCATCAACTAACTATTGAGAGGCCATACTGCTCAAACATCCAATTAAATAAAAATAAATAATGTAATTACGAAAATACGTATTACCACGATGGACCATACTGGGTTATTTACTAATGAACCATTTATTTGCTTATTGATCTTTTATGTATCATTATCGAATTGGGAAAACCCGGCGCTCATGATCACATATGCACATAAAAATAGTTAAAATCATTGTATAGGTACCTAATGAAATAGCACACATTTATGACATTTTAACATTACTTGTCTAATGCAAATATTTAAATAATAACATGATACATAATGTAAATAGTTATGCAAGAGTAATTTAGAAATTTTTAAACATAAAATAACAATGTTCAAAAATTATTAAATGAAAGTTTTTTAAAACAAATAAAAACTTAATTTACAATGTTTATATTCCTTATTGAATGTGAAAATTTAGATATCAAATTTAAAACAAAAAAATAGATAAAGTAAATATTTACTTATTTAAATCTAATGTAAATTATATTTTCTATAATAAATTCTAATCAAATAATTAAAACAAATATTAGTTGTAAATATATAATTTTTCAATATAAATTGTTAATATTACCCTCTTCATATTATCAACTCATTTTATAATAGCTTGACTCATTTTGTATTTCTAGTTTTAATAATTTATTTTTGGTTAAGAATAGACACTTTTAAATGCATCTATGAGCATTTTTAGTAAAGGCAAAGCAATATAAAGCATATTAAGTATAAGAGAATTAAAAATCTCGTCAAAAATTAATGTAGTATTACATAGTTGGCTTTAGTGGCTCAATGATTACATATTCGTAATTTTTGTTTTTTTTTGTTAAGTACTCATGCTTACATCATATAATTAATCTGTATCTCACAGAAACCTAATTCAAAATAAATGATGTTCATACAAGTCTCCTATTGGGGATTGATTAACTACTTTTGAGAGCACTGCTTTACTCAGTGAAATATGTTGACTATACCTAAGGTAGAATATTAAAAAAATATTTAACTTATGAATTGCTGAAATATATTAGAGAATAGGTACATAGAATTATTTGAAAATTTTATAAAATTCATATCTGCCATACTTGTAACTTATTGCAGATTTTTTTTTTAAATGTTGAATTTATTTTATATCAACTAAATTATAATCTAACAACTCACCTGACTCTTTTAATTTTTTAACTTTTTCTAGTTGTTGATCTGTTTCTTTTATGTACATAAGTTTTTCCTTCGTCAACCGTTTCACTACTCCCGTTTTAATCTTCAATGTCTTTATACGAGGATCGGCCATTATTATATTTCTGTAAAGAAATCAAACGCAATCAAATAAACGTCTGCGTAAGTGCAAAATGGTTTAGACATAAAATCTACGATTTATAAATTATAGTGCAATAATGTAAAGTTAACACATATATATAATACAATTTGATTGATTAATATAAATTCAATACCTATTATGTAAGCAAACAAAGGATAAATAATAGCACAAAACGAAACAATAAAAATACTTATAGGTTTACAACCTAAAATAGTAAAAGAGGTAATAATAATAATTTAACTTACAGAGTTAAAGCCTTCAACTTTCAATACATTTTCTATAACTCAACACTTTCGAATTGATTTGTATAACCTATAAACATAACGTAAATTTTGTATATTGTGTATCTCAATTACTAGATAGCGATGTATTTTTGATAGCATTGACAACGGCAGTGATAATTTGATAAAAATCATGGATGATTCTTAAAAAATACTACTGGCTGCACTGGTTTCTTTGAAAAAGTTCATTTTAATGGCTATAACAACATAATGGCTGACAGACTGAATTTAGTGAATGGGAACAATCGAATTATTTCAACATCGAGAAGTGATTTATCGAGAGGTTTTAACAATCGGAGAGATTCACTTGAAAAAATCTCTCGGTCAATTTAGTATTTCATTACAGTCATTACACTCAGTTTCTCGATATTTTGTACAAACCGCATTATGAACATGTACAACTAACCTTACTAATTTTCAATCGTTTTATGTTTTAGATTAAGACATCAGTCGATTTAATTTCGTGACAATCACTCGTTGATTAATTTATCACTTGAGTGATTTAGTTATCACTCATCTTCAGTTGATTTCGATACCGAGAAAATTATTCTCGAATTTTCAAAACAATCGAAATAATCGATTAAATCTAACAATCGAGTAATTTCTTTCGATTGTTCCAATCACTAGATATAATATTAGAGTTAGACTATGCCATCATGGGTGACGTCGTAATCGTAAACGTAACGACTGTTTTTAGTAAGTTATTCTTCTACCATAACACTGTCTAGTTACATTTCTGAAGTTACTAACGCGTTTAGGCGGTATATTTTAAAAAATATATTTATATTTCTCTAGCCAAAGTATTATTTTGTGTATTGTTCTTTTTATGAATAAAAATAAATTGGAAACATCCGATCCAGCAATTTTCGAAGACACAAAACTAACGATTGTTATAAGAACGATAATTTGTTCTTTGTTAGTGACATCCTGAATTCTTAATTGGTGAAATTGGTTAATTTTTTTTGGAATTTTGTCGAGGTAGTATTACTTATTTTTTTTATTGGTGTATAATTTCAATTAACTTTGTAGTATGTACCTTATTTTTTTTATTCAGTGTTAGATGGAGAACGTTGCGTGTCCACTTTGCTGTGAGGACAGATTTTCCAATCAAGATTTGCTAAAATATCATTTATTAAGTTTAACCACAAACATCCAATGCCCTTTTTGTGGAAAACAGTGTGATGATATCCACTCCTTGGTTGTACATTTGGATAAGATGTGTATAGATAAAAATGAACAAGTTGAAAAACCTATTCAGGACGATGAAATGATAGTTGTTTATCCGGATGGTAAGTTATTCCGAATGTTAATATAATATTGCTCTAATTAATTAAAATTGGTAAATTTTTATCTACAATCTTTAGATGTCGAACAAGAACCAGTTAATGTTACTGGTGAATATGATAATTTAGTGAACGAAGAGGACTTACAAAATGATGAAAAGGCAACTAATGTTGAAATAAATGCGAAAACCGGAGTTAAAAAATTTCTTGAAGAATTTATGGTAGATGATTCAACTAAAGTAGCAGGGGAACCATCAGAAAATGAATCTCACGAAGAACCAAATATTTACCATTGCTCTGACTGCAAGATAAACTTTCCATCAATTCAAGATCATGTAAATAACTGCCATAAAGGACAAGAAGTTGTATTTCAGGTTTGTTCAAAATTAAATTTAAGTGTAAAAATGTATACTATCATATATTCATGTGTAGGTACCTGAAAATGAAGATCTCAATCTTGCATTGAGAAATATGGCTCGTATCATGGAAAAACAATTGCCTCAAATAGGATCTTGGATTAAATGGGGAAATGGCTATTTTTATACTAATCAAAAAGATGTGGTCATGGAACATTTAAAAAATATTAATAAATCAGAAGAAACAAAGTGTTTAAAGCCTGTTTCAGATAAAAAAGAACTCAAAAAGAGTCAAATTATGACTGCCAAAAATTATTCAAATCATTGTATTACTGATTCATATGGTGATAGGTATTTTGACATTCCTATTTATTCAATCCATCGTGCAAATGATAAAGTTAATGATTATTTTCAAGTTGAAGCACGAAAGTTGAATTTTAAAAAACGTATGCGTCTTATACGGTTAAGATCAAACACTGATCATTTTGATATTGAACAAATATTATTTCAAAGCAAACCAACCGATTTCAAAGTCATTCCAATGTTAGAAAAAGCAACAGAATGCTCTGAATACAGTCAATTAGACAACTTAGAGGAATGTATTTTACTTTCTTGGAAGTGTATTGTTTGTGATTTAAAAACGGATCATTGGGCCAAAATAAATATGCATATCTGCAATGAAGATGAATCACCAGAGTCTAAATCAAAAAATAATATAGAGACCAAACCTGTTACTGAGAAAAATAATAGTCGGTCAATTTCCACTGTTCGATCGAAACATATTTGTCCACATTGTAATGGAGAATTTGATTCAGAAGGTTATTTAAGAACTCATCTCATGGTACATGTAAATGATTCAAATAAATGTCCATTTTGTGATCAACCAGTAGCACCGGAAATGATGGAAACACATCTAATTGCTCATCAAAATCCAGAGTTCTCGAACCTAAAGTTTTTATGCAAGTATGATTTAAATTTAATATAACATGATCATATATTTAATTATAACACCTTCCTGCGAAATTTTGTTATTTGTATTATAATACTTGATTAGTATAGATTTTGGCTCGCTGAGTTCAAATCTGAAATTAGTTTGTCTCTATCACGTATTTAAATATACATATGAAGATATTTACATTAGAACATAAGTTATTATATTATATTTTGTATTAATAAGTATACTGAAATTTAATGAATTTATAAAATCTAGAATACCTTTTGAACACACATAGTGTAATATTATCAAATTATATATTAATCTTATCGCAGCTCAATTAAATATATTTTTAAACTTATACAATTAATGATGTTTATCTACCATATTATAATATCATCCTCTCTGTATTCATTTTAGTGAGAATAAAATATCAATATTTTATTCACATGCTATATATCCAACATTTTATTGTGTTATTTTCAATTTTTAAAGTATGGCAGCTAAATCCAATAGAAGGTGTAGTAAAAATAATTCAAATTTATTTTATTATATATGTAGAGAATGTTATATAAAACAACACAATAACATTGAATCTTTTATTTAATAACATATATTATGAATATTTTGGTATTCCGTTAGTACCCAGTGTACTCTGCGACACAAAATCAACGGAGGAAAGGAAAAAATAAGAAAACTTTTAATTGTTTAGAATAATATTGTATTATTGCATTCTCATCTAACAACTTCAATGATACTACTGCTAGAATTTCCTATAATTTCTATGGACTATGCATTGGTTGGGCAACTCAGTATTGGATTATTGTGAATAAGGGTAACATGGATCAATAAAGGTTAAGAACCACTGCGTTAGGTGATCAAGATAAATCTTGGGCACTCCATATTGTTTGCTGTTTCTGTGTTGAAGGTCTACGAAATTGGAAACAAGGTAAGCGTTTTCACCAAGACATCAAAGAGATGGAAAGACAATATCAAGGTCAATGGAATTTAAGTATGATAAGCGATTACTGTTGGTGTTTAAAACTTGAAACTGAAAAATACCTATAAAAGAAAATCAAATAAATTTAGTTTCCACGATCCTACAAAAAAGAAAACTGAAAAAATCTTATTTAAATATGTATGATAATATTTTGTAGTTAATTTTAATTTAACTATAAATACAATAAAAATATTTCAATTATAATAATAACGTATATTATTCTAATATAAATATTCTCCTCATATGTATATCTAAATTGTAAAAAAACATTACGTGATAGAGAGAAACTGCTTTCAGATTTGAACTCAGTGTGCCAAAATCTATAAAAATCAGGTATACAGCCGAAAAAAAAAAAAATATTTCGCAAGATGGTGAATTGATGACAAATAATAACCATTAACTATTTTAGTATATGCAACAAATATTATGATTCTGAATTTCGTCTTCGATGTCATCAAAGAGCACATGAGATGCGACGTAAACCACGTGAAATATTGTATTGTGATGTTTGCAATGCTCAGTTTAATGACAAAAACTCTCTGAAACATCACGCTATCACACATATTGAACCTCCCGAACGTTTACGACGATTACACGAATGCCGTTTTTGTGGGAAAACTTTTGTTAAACCTATTGAGAAAGTAATTTTACTTACAATGCTCATTAATTATGTTTTTATATTCTACATATAAAAATTTACATATTTCAGGTAAATCACGAAAGAGTACACACAGGTGAAAAACCTTTTGCCTGTCCTGTTTGTGGGCGTTGTTTCAGACTTAAAGATCTTGTACAAAAACACATGCGCGTTCATACCAAAGAAAGGCCTTATAAATGTCGCCATGAAGGCTGTGAAAAAACATTTAGTGCATCAAGTAGTAGAGTCAACCATGAACAAGGCCATTCTGGTATCAAGCAATTTAAATGTTTTTACTGTCCAAGATATTTTAAAAATTGGGTAAGTAATAAGTTTAAATTCTATTTAAAATCAAGTATTCTTTATTTATTCACTTATTTAATCAAGGTTTCGAGGAGTAATCATGTTCAAGAACACATGGTAAAGCACAAATGTGAAATTTGTGATCGTTCTTTTGTATCATTTTGTAATTACAAGAAACATTTAAAAATGCATGCAGAAGAACGGCTCAAATTCAAGTGTATGATTTGTCGTCAAGCATTTGGAAGACAACTATTTTTAGACAATCATCTCAATAATGAACATCTAATGAAATCACATAAAGAACACGTAACAACAACATAATTTTTTTAAATTATTTCTCATTTTAATTTAACAAATAAAATATTTATACAATTTTAAATATGCTTAAGCATATTGTTGCCCATGCAAAAAGTGACTAATTATAAAAACTTTTTAATCCGTCACTGGTTGTATAATTTTTTTTTTTTACATTTAGTCGCGCAGGTTAAAATTTTCCATAATATAAAATTTACTTAAATTATTACTCTTAGTTGGTACTAGTAAAAATATATTTATAATTTAGTGTAATTTTTTTTCGAATACTAATATTCCATATATGTTTTTTATAATGAGAATCAAGAGAAAATTAAATCGAATAAAATGTTAAATAAAAAGTAACATTAATCGCGTGGGGTAAATATTTTCCAAATGGATAAATTGTTCTTGACACACATGTACCAAACAAACTAAAATAGTTTTTGATGAATTTAAATTCATTATCAAATTATGAAGTGATTTTGATAAGCTAATTAAAGTTACAAATCTGTATTACTGATAATTACAGAAAAACACATATTTTATTAATACACTGGAAGATTATTTATCCTGTGTGACCAGTAACTGGCTAACCAGTTCTTACTCGCATGTGAGAATTTCCCTTGCATAGATTTTAAGTTGAGAACAATTAACTTGCTTAGTTATATTCTCCTTGAATTCATACCTAACCTAACCTATTTAAAATAGATTTGTTGATAAATAGGCAGTTAATCATTTTGATTAAGATATATTATGTTTATGATATTTAAAAAAATAGGTAAACCAATCGCACAATGGGCAAGTAATGGTGTTCAAATGTCTTGACTGGTTAACTGTCTTAATTAATTTTTATATATGTACAAAATAAAATATTTATAAATTATATTTTCATACTTTTACATTTCTTTGCAGGATTGTCATAATACACAATTCACTTATAATATAGTAGTTGATTCTCTTGTACATTTTACTATTAATTATATTAGAAAATAATTTGTTCATAAAATTGTATATTTTCTTTCTATTGATTAATGCTAACTCTACACTTAACACCTTGCCTTATCTATTGAATTATATTTTTTACGAGGGTCAAAATGAGATTAGTTATCGGTTAAATAATTGATTAAGAAATCCAAAAATTTAGATGGTTAGTAATCAGGCTACTTCACTTCATAAAGATCAAGCAAAAATTGTATGTCAACACAAGGGTCATAAAAGTGTTGAGGGAACAGAATACTCATCTTATTTAATAACAATATATCAATAATTTAAAAATATAGCTGTCAAGTGTAGACCAGTGAATTAATAATTATAGTAATAATATTAAACCTTATAATCTAACAATTTGACATTGCACTTGCCAGTATTTACAAAAAACACAAATTTCAATTGCTACGTTAATACTAACAGACAAGTAAATCTAAATAAAACATGTCAGGTGATATTTAGTGTTTACACAAGTAAAGAAGTTATTGTCAAAAATACATTAAATTTTGACTTGGTCCCGTTGAAGCATATTCAACAGTTTTTTTAAATTTGTATTATATACAAAAATATGAGTTTTAGTGATTACCGAACATAGCAAGACATTGATTCATCAGAACTATCATCATAACTTAAGTCTGAATCATCATGGTATATCCTAGTAACAGCATCTGTAAATTAATTAAAATATTTTATTATTTAATAGAATCATTATATTATAATATACATATATAAGTAGGTCAACATAAATTGATTAAATGATAGATGTACTAAGTTAGAAGTTAACTAAAATTCACTAAGCCCATTTCAACTCGGAAATAATTATGCAGTGTATACAGGGTGTTTTTTTTTTTATCACGAACCAACAATTATCTCTGGAGGATTAGTTATAATAGTAAATCTAATATGAGTGTTATTATACATCAAAATGTCTAGAAAAATATTCTCTATTCAAATATGTGTTCAAAGAGGGTATTCCTATTTGAAAAGCAAAAGTATATACTTATTTAAAGTATGTGGAGTAGGGGAAAAATTAAAAATAAAGCTTAAACAATTTTATGCCGATTAGAAAAAACAGAATTAAAATTTACTAAAAATCTTAAGAGATAATTGTTGGTTCATAATAAAAAAAAAATTGCCCTGTATTTATCAGAATAATACTACTGTGTGTAGAATGAAAAATAATATTAAGAAATTATAACATCTTTAGATTAAATGGCAAGTTATAAAATGTTATTTGTGTCTTCTTTTACTCATCCCAATTATTTGAGATCAGCCACCCTTGTCCCAAACATCTACTTTGCCCAATCTACCTCAGCTTTTCTTATATCATTCTTTATCGCATCAAATTACCTATTTTCATTTAAACAGTTGGGTGAATCAGTTATTAGGCGAGGCAGATTCATGTTGTACAAACCTGGCTTAACACTTCTCTCTACTTTCTCCAACCACACTAAACACAGAATCCTATGTTTCACATCCTTATCAAAGTCATCTTTCTTTTGTACAAAAGATCCTAAGTATCTACTTAACACTCTCAACCGCGCCTATGACATCACCCCTCGTAACTTATTGTCGTAACGCTGTCTTGTGAAGTTCCTCCAAACTCATATTCTGATTAACTTCTAATCATCCTTATTCTTTTCCTGCAAGTGTTACTCTTTATTATTGAAGCCTTTAGTTACATATTCCCGATTTTCTCTTATCAAATCTTTATCGTCTGTGAAAATTATGCATCATAGTACAACAGAATAGATTAAATGGTACCATAGACATATAAATATTTATATATCTATACGTGGTATATTCTATCGCCTGTTATTCCCGCGCACATCAGAGATTGGACAATCCGCCAAAGTTTTGTATAGAACTCCTTATCAGTTTTTTCAAATATTAAATTTCTATAAAAAAATATTTTAACTTTATATTATGTTAATATGTTCATAAAATTCCGTATTCCATGGGTATTTCAGCAATTAATATGTACCTAATCTACTTAACTATTGATTCACAAAGTGTAAATTGTAATGTACAGTAAAACCTCATTATAACAAAATAATAACCGACTGATTTTTCCGTTATAGGAAGACTAAAATCTACAGAATATAGGTTACCTATGCAGAACTATTGTTTTCCGTTTTAAGAAGAATTTTGTCTTATATGGGTCCGTTATAAGCAGATTTTACTGTATTCAATTATTATTTTTTATTTTATTTTTGTAAATTGATCAGTAAAACTTACCATTCACGACTGGGTTACGAAAAAGTTCTACTTCATCATCATCATCAAAAAGATATGGTTTTTGTGGAAGCAATGCAAAACCATTTTTATTAACAAAATATGATGGTCTTCCAGATTTCCATCGAAGATAAATATGATACCAACCCATTCCAATAATAGAACTAATGAAAACTGAAAACACAAATACCACATGTATATTCAATAAATTAAATATTCCTAACAATACATACCTGTAAGAATTATGAACACCATTCTAGGCATATTAAAAACTCGTTCATCCTTTATTAATTTAAATATTACTGTTTCCGATTGAATACCCTGAATATTAATGGATTTTACAGATGGGTAATATCCATTAGCGTCTACTCGAATAGTCCTTATACCTTGAATCCAAAATATCATAAAACTTAGGTATTAATAATTTTTTGTATGATAATCTAATTTAATATAAATATGTTTAAAGTGTAAAACATTTCACCAAAATTAAATGTTATCCATATTGTGTAATTACGCAAAGCGGAGAAACCACAATTCCATTTGGTGAAATGGATGCGACATATAATATGAAAAAATGTTAGTGTTAAAAATATTTACGAATGATAAATAGTTAATTTTGTACAATTTTTTAAGTAAAATAGTATAATATTGTTTCATTGCCACTGATTCTATCCTCGAAATGAAACTCCACCCACTGAAACGCATTTAAATGCTGAATATTCCATTTATTTAGATGTAAAATGTCTATGCCTATAGGTCACAATCTGAGTTACACACACTGGATAAAAATTAAAATTATAGCACATAATAATTATCATCCCTTCTACCTAATTTCATTTTCCATATTATTATTATTAATATAGATTATAAAGTAAATATATTATATTGAACTGGTACACACAAGCCTATTAATACATTTATTCTAAAATTAAATATAGAGATACAAGTATTAATTGAAATAATTTTAATTACAAATTATAATAATAATATACTGAATAGTGAATACAAAATAAAATAAAATACGTGAAGTTATTTAAGTTATTAAAACACTCTTCTTTCCGCCTTTCATTACACACAGAGTGATTCACTAAGCGTGCACACCACATTTTTTTGATTGAATTTTGCATATATTCAGATCATGATTTTTAGAATTTTAAGATGTAGTTAAATTTGATATTTTCGAATTCTTAAATTATTCACAACATTTAAGGCAGCGTTTCCCAACCTTTTTCCCTTACGGCACACTAATCCTAACCTATTTTAAACTGCGGCACACTTGACACTGACTTATATGTGTATATATTTTTGTATTTTTTATATTAGGATTTTATCATATTTATACCAAAATAGTTGTAAATCAGTAAATACTAGTAAATAATTTAAAATGATGTGTTTATTTAGGTTATGAAAATTCATGTAAAATCATATTTCAATTTATTACAAATATTAAATTTAATGACTTGGAAAAACATATATATTAAGATTAGTTTATACAAATTTAGTACGAATGAGAAATTTGTGCCTGGTTTCCCTTTATTATAAGTTTTATACGTGGTCGAATGGTTGAAAATCATACCCTCATGTCGTCTTCTAAGTTCTTCAGTTGTGATCGATTGTGATCGAGTGGTTTTAATGGCATTCATTGAAGAGAATGCTGCTCACAAATATAGAATGTAGAAAATGTAAAAACAGATGGAATATCAGTTATGTTCAAAGAGGGCGTGTAAAATAAATTTCAGTTTAAATAAAAATGTTAGTATGATAAATTTGCTTCACGACGGACGACTAACGACTAACCAGATTTAAGTAAATACAACGATTTATTTATTTATTTAATAAGAAATTATGAACAAAAATAATTTTTATTACACTATTTATCAAGAATTTAAGATAACGATCAAGTAATCGCCTATAAGTTAAACATATTTTCTAATCTATTATCGGAATTTTACTTAAACGTTTATTAATAATCATGATATTTCGCGGCTGATTTAAGGAGTATCCTGTAGTGACACCAACTTTGGTTTTTCAAATGAGAATCTATATTAAAAATTCCAAAAATATATGAGATTACTCTAAATAAATTTTGGTGTACATATTTTTGATTTCCATCAACCAGTTGGCAATATATTTCAGTTTTAAGTTGAATAAAATACCGCGAGCTGTGCCATCACATAAATGATACTCCACTACAGTTCCCCTACTTAACTTGAAAGTCTAATATCTAATTAATGGATAGACGGAAATCAAAAATGTTGACACAAAAATGTATTTAAAGTAATACTCTGTATATTTATGTAATTTGTTATATAGGTTCTCATTTAAAAAATCAAAGTTGGTATCGCCACTGAATACTCGTTAAATGTTGTGAAAAATCCAAATTATCGAAAATATCGGCATTACACTTAATAATTCCAAAAATCTATATTTGAATACATGTAAAATTTAACCAAAAAAAAAAAATGGGGTGAGCATAGCACGCTTAGTGAATAATCCTGTATATATCAAGAATTATGCTTGTTTTTAAAATTTTATTAAGAAAATTTAAATTTACAATTACTATTATCATAATTTTAAATTCTGAGTGGAGCAAAAAAACTTATGGTTTAAACAAAGATGTTTATTTTTATTTATTTTTTATATCTGTGCGCAACTTTTCAACAAGAAATCAAATTTGAAAAACCGAAAAAAAAACGTAGGAAAAATTCGAAAATGTACAAAATAAATTACGAAAATATTTTCTACCAGCAATTTTGCTCCAATTTATAATGATAGCAGTTTTGCTAAAAAAAAAAATCCTACTAGGAAGTTACTTTAGAGAGGTCAATTTTCGATTTTTTCAATAGTTTTTTGAATAAATGCGAAAAATCGAAAAAACTGAGGAAAAACGGGGAAATGTATACTAGTTGAAAAAAAAATTTTAATTGGATAGGAACATTAATTTTTGTGTTCATATTTTTCAATTGAGATTCATGTTATACAAAAATGGCTAGCCATAGTGAAAAATTGGATATGGTTTTAATTTTTAACGACTGATGAGTATTTTTTGTAATAAATTCTTTAAAATAAAATTAATTTAATAATAATAAAATAATTTTGTTTCGACTTTAATTAGCTTAATTTCGGCCAATTTTTGAGATAAAGGAAAAGTTTATTTATACAAGTTGCTTAAAAAAAAAATGATTTATCCAAATCAAGTGTTGGAAATTGGTGTTCATTTAAAAAAAAATGCAAGTTTTATTGCGCATGCGCACACCGAAAGGGAAAGAAATTTGAAAATCCATACAAAATATGTATTTCAGTGTTTCCTATTTTCTCTTGATAACCCCATTTCAATCCGAAGTTAATGGACAGAAATAATTTGTGTTATTATTTAAGTGAAACACAATGTACTCCCTATGTAATTATTCTGTCATTATATCACATAATAAATAATGTTGGCAAAGCAACTACACTATCAACTGAACTCTGCTCAGAATAGTTTTTTCATTAGCAATGGTTAATCATTGCTTACAGATATACATTAAATTAGCTGTAACAGTGGCTGCACTTGTTTCCATTATACTTGGACAGCTTTTTTAAATATTAAACTATTTATTATAATTGTATAGTACATTTCACTATTATGCAAAATGGTATAATTTAAAAATCTATTTCTAAAATAAATTGAACCTATTAAATACCTCTAGTATGTTATTTGTAATATGCAATGTATAGTATACCAAAGTTAAAAATCTGTAGTAGTGTTCTTAATATTAAACAATTTATTAACTTACCTTCTCCAATTGGTAAACTATAAGATCCATTCCTATAACTCGTGGAAACTGAAAAGGACGACTCATCTGTAATGGTAGCTTTTTCTATTGGTTTATTTTCAATATCCAGAACATAACCTGAGTATATAGACAACTGTACAGTTTACTGTTCCAAAAAAAAAATTAGATGCATATTACCTTTAACTAATGTGCTGAATTGAGTTGCATAACCATGACCAATAGGTAACATAATAACATTAATATTGGTAACATTCCTTTCGTACACTCTTATTGTAATACTGTGAGTTAAATATCCAGTGGCTTTAATCTAAATATTATAAACTTTTAGTAAAATTATATATAAGGTGAAAAACTCGACATACATTTATCTTGTGTAAACCTATTGGTAAATTGGCTTTGAAAACAGCAGAATTAGGAGTAACTTTGTGAATATCAGCAAACATATCTATTGTTACAATCGCATTACGAATAGGTTTGCCAGATAGTTTATCTATAACTGATCCTCGAACACCTTGAATGTTTTCTATGATAGTTTTGAGCATATGGTAACTTTCCATCCAAACAAATGCAATTTCTGATGGATCAATGTAATTACAGCAGGTTATTCGTAACGCCATCTAAAATATTTGAGTGTTATTTGTCACATAAAAAATATGAAAAAATATAATTTAAAATTATAATTACATACAGTTTTAATTTTTAATACATTATTAAATGTATCTAAAACCTGTTGTTTAATATCGTTGATTTTGCGATCTAATGGCTCACCACAAGTCTAAAATATAATACAAGAAATATTATCAATAGCAGTTAATAAATACAAATAAGAATAGCTATGAATTTAATTTTAATACATATTACTTACATTTTTTACATTAGTAGTAATGTATAAACCTTCGTATTCTCGATAAATTGTGGAAATGATGTTCCTTGGGTGGATTGTTGGACCACTAAAAATAATTTTTATAATAATATATCTATTAATTGTAAGGTCTATAGTACCTATACTAACTTTATTGACATAGATCCACCTTCTAAACTGAACATCATATCGAACTGTTCTTGTTGTAACATTTTCCATAAGCTAGCTGTGGTTTTTTGTTCATTATGACGATTAGTAGCTATCAGTAATGGTCCAGTTATATAAGCCTGATCATCAGTTAAACATTTCTTTTCGTAGTTTTCTTTTAGTTCAAAGTAGGGAATAAAATATAACACGACATTGGATAGGAACGAAATTACATCCATGTCCTTATTTCTATAACCTTCAACATAATGCCGAGCCAAAAACAATAACATTTCTCGAGTTGCCGGTTCATTAACATATAATCCACCTAATACAGCTATTTTGAACTTGTGTTCATCGGGCGAACCAACCTAAAGAATCAAAATGTGTAAACATTTTTTATTATTATTTGTTTATTATTTATTATTTATTATTATTATCTCAAACATATCTTACGTTTTTAGTGACTTTAAATTGAATAATTGAATCGTCTGAATTAAATAATTTGATTGGTTTTATTACTAATTCAGCAACATTTGACAAACTATTTTCCAATTCCATTAGTTCATTTAAAAATAATTCTTTACTATTGTAACTGTCCATTTTAGCTACATTCAACTTTAAACTAAAATCATTATCTCGAGACCATACATTAAGGTCTTCTTTGAGTAATGTTATGTTTAACCAAGTTGGAATCGTAGAGTTGTTTACATGAACAAAATGAGTTTGTCTTTTGTATCTATAAATGAAAATACCTAAAGACATTTATTCCGCTGAAGAAGACGCTATACCCACATATGCTATCACAATTTAACTAACAGGCAATATAACAAAATCTACTGTATGCTGACTGTGTAGAACTCACTTAATTTTGGTTTTAGAATAAAATTACCTATTGTAAAATTAAAAGAACACAATATTTGAGAAGACAAGACAATGCAGTTTTCCTATTATTCTAATTATTATTTCAATTATAATGTTCAAGTCACTGTTTTGGAATAAAAACTAATTTGTTGGTTTTAAATTACTGTAACGTTTCAAAAAATTAATTTAAAAAAAGAAACTTATCGTCTTGTCCTCCGGAATATTGGTCTCTTTTAATTTTATAATAGGTGCTTTTACTTCAAAACCAAAATTAATTAAGTTCTTCACAGTCTGAGTAAGTTAGATTTTGATATATTGCTTGTTAGTTGGACTGAAACGGGTATGGCGTTTTCTTAAATAAATTGTATAAATAAATAAATAATAAATTTTGTCTCACCCGTAGGCTATAACAGAAAGCTCATAATCTCCTGGTGCCAATATTCTCCAATAATCACCATCGATTGCAGTTTTAATATCATGATCAATACCTTTGATTGAAATTTTTGCATTCCGTACGGCAATCCCTTTGTTGTCCAATATGAAACCTTTTACTCCTCTATTCACTTGTTCCATAAAAGAAAGTAAAGATTCGCGGTTGTCACGCCAGTAACTTTCCAAATCTTTTTTAAATGGGAATTTGGTACAACCCATTTCAATGGTAAGTTCAAAACAATTTGTGTTCAAATAGTTAAAGTCTTGCATGCCACCAATTACACTATACCAAGTAGCTCCGTTGACTATGCCTTCTTTGAATGAAAACTTATCGTTTTTGCACTTATTATTGTCTAAATGCATTTTCGGATGATTCTATAGACGACAAACAGCAATAATATTGTTTACCATTATACCAATTATCAGTCAAAAATTATTTAAATTTTTTTGTTACTAACCATAGAATATGTTTTAGCTAGCAATACGAATACTTCATTGTCAGGAGTATACGACGGCTGTGGTTTTGGATTACCGTCATTCATACTACTATCAAAAGGGTAATTGGCTACAAGTGCTCCACCATGTAAATTAGCGCTCAGCACAAAAGGTAAACTTTTTATCCATTCAATGATCGCTTTGGTTTCAGGTTCTGGTTTAGGCAACTAGATATAATATAACATACAATTTGTAAGTTACGCAAATATTGATTTGTTTCAGAGATTAATTTAAATTTAATTATAGGCATGTTCGCTCGTATTTCACATATTATGTATGTTTTAAAATATCTAATTATTATTTATAAATCACAAAGATTTCTTCTTATATCTCCTCGTCTTTATCTACAACATGTCCATCATATCTCTAACTTTAATAACCTTTAACCATTTTTGCTTTGATCTAGTCATTCCCCAGCTTTCCTTCTACACTTAACTCATATAATATTTTCTAAAAAAGCACATCATTTTTTCTTCTTGTTCTCTCAACATGTATATACAGGTACCATCTCAATTTATTCTCTATTTCTTTATCAATTTTCCAGCTATATCATCTTTAAGAGGATATCCATTCTTAATCAATCCAACTCATTCAATTCTAAATCAAAAAGTCGGAGAACAAATTTATATTTTAAACAAAATTGAACTTAAAGTCCAATTAGATAGATATATTTTTTATGGCCATTCAAATCTGTAACATAAATTTTTTTTTAATCGTTTAAACTCATTTTTTCCCTCCATTTTATGTGTTTTTTATTTATATAGATTTCTATTAGATAATAATTGTTACAAAATAAAAACTAAAATAAAAAATTATTATTTTAATATAAATATAAATTTGGTTAAAAAGCACACAACATACAAACTAAAAAAATTGGACTAAACAATCATAATTCATAATTATAGTAAAAAATAAACTTTGATCATAAAAAAGTAATTCAATCATCAACGATTTCCGAAATTCTAACTCTATTTTTTTTCATGGAACTGTACTATCCAAATATATAAAACATGTATATCTAATACCTCTACATTAGCTTATTATATATAAGACCCATGAAAACTGATGCAAATATTTCGCACAAAATTTAGTAAAAAAATTAGCAAGATTGAAAGAAAATTGTATAAAAGGGCAACAATTTTATTTTACGAACTTTTTGACCAAATTTTTTTAAATGGAACTTTTTGGTCTCCGGACTTTTTAACCATTTACCAACTGGGTAACATCATACATCTACCTAAACAATCTCATTTCTGGTGCTTAATTTTTTATTTTCACTTATGAGCACATATGAAAATATACTGGTCGCGTTTTACTTACATGAAGAGGATGCCGATTATCCGGAAAATTACGATTCAGGTCGACCCCATTCGCGTTTCCTCGGCCTATCAAATCATTTACGTCTTCGACCCCTGGAGGGAAAAAATTAAAAACAACCCGAAATCACGAGAATTAATTTGACTGAGATTAGTTAATAATAATACACCAATACGTATTAAAATATTCTAAAAACATGAAAAAAAAAATTCAAGCCGTTGCACGATTTACCTTCCTTAGATATCTCGTATCCGTCTGGATTCATCGAAGGCATCAAATGTATTCGCGTGTTGTTCACCAAATTGGTGACACGTTCGTCGACACCGTAGTTCTGGCACAAATATTGAGCCAACAACAGTAACATTTCCCGGCCGACCGCTTCGTTCCCGTGCATGTTGGCCACGTACTTGAACTCAGGTTTACCTAACGTACGCATCACGGATGACACATAAAGAAACACACACATACACACCATACGTCTTGTGATAAAAAAATATTAAAATATATGTATCCCGAATTTATTGGTAGGTATGTCACATCCCTAATAGCCACCACCGCTAATCGAAATTTTACCGGGTTCATGTAGTCCAGGGTTAGTGGACACTTCGAGCACGTACAAATCTCGTCCCTGTACGGTTTTACCCACACTGTACAGTCTGGTTATGTTTGGATAGTTGACGTTGATTAAGTTTAGCTTGGACACGAGATTAACGTAATTGTGGTGTACGAACTCTACGGGAATTGGGAAACCGTTATTATCTCTCTGTCCAGCCTTCACTTCTATCGTACTCAATTCAGTAGCTGAAAGAAAAAAGTAGGTATTCTTTTTATTTCCTTTCGAAATATTTTCCATCACATGAGTACCTAATCCCTCCATTTAGTAGGTCGCGGAAAGGCTATAGATTACGACAAAGGAGGGATTCGTAAATTCCGAGATGGAAGTATTATACCAGGATGGTCGAATTGCACATAGGTCAAAAAAGTTATAAAATCGCTAAATTCTTTTCCTGCATTCAGACTTAGGACTGAGTCTGACTGACATTGATTTTAATCATTGGCTTGGGTTAAAATTAAATTTTTACACAATATTTATCAAATATATAGTAAATAAATAAATAAATAAAAAATGTATGTATAAAATAAAAAATAAATTAATGAATGAATTTCGCGAAAGTCGCGTTTTACATTTTGACTGTGTTATACCTGATAATGAATTTTTTATTCAAAACCGGTCATATAATACACTCATCAAAATATTCCAGGCAACGCATTCATTAATTAATTAATTTTTTATTTTTATATATACATGTTTAATTTATGTACCGGGTGATTCATTTAAATGGGTACTCATTATCTCGGAAAGTATTAGCTTTTTCCGGAATTTGTATTCTAGAATATTTAAGAAACAAGCTGCTTCACAATTTTATAGTTGTAGTATGTTATAGTATTTTATTTTTTGTTACTCTTATTTTTGGGGGTGAAACCACTACCTACTTTTGATTTTCAAATAGCAACCTACATTAAAAAGTCCATAAATAGATGGAGTATTAGTTAAAATAAATTTGAGTTTTGAAATGTTTTATTTCTGTCAAGCCGTTGACGAGATAATCTACTTTTAATTTTAGGTTAGAGGAGAGTAGTGGTGCATTAATAAGGTCACGCATCGTACCGCCACACAAATGACACTCCACTACTCTCCTCCAACCAATACTTAAAAGTGGAATATCTCGTCAACGGAAATTAAAAATTTTAACATTAAAATTGATTTTAACTAATATCCCATTTATTTATGGACTTTTTAATAAAGGTTGGTATTTGAAAATCAAAAGTAAGTAATGGTTTTACCCCCAAAAATAAGTGTGACAAAAAATAACACAAATATAAAATTGTGAAGCAGCTTGTTTCTAAAATATTCTAGAATACAAATTCCGGAAAAAGGTAATACTTTCCGAGATAATGAGTGTATCTACTTAAATGGATCACTTGGTATTTATTTCCGAGTATTAACAATTTTAATAATTTTATTTATATTTTATTATTTTATTATATATTAAAAAAAAACTAATTTTTAACAGGGAAATGATTAAACTGTTAATGAGAAGGAAAATAATAATTTTTAGCATAAATCAAGTTTATTTTCAAACATTTTGGTTGAAATACATTTTTTGACCTTAGTGTAGTTTGAATATTACATATTTTTTTTATTTCAAGTGCAATTTGACTTTAATAATACTATTTAACAAATTAAATTATCAAAATCTATAATAGATTATACCATTTTCGTTTTTATTTTATTTTAGTTTATTTAGATAGTCAACTTATTAACATATTAAATGTAACATGACAAAATAGAAACCATAATGTATTAATATGCTTTCATAACTAATAATATATTTATATTATATTATGTTACAGTCATTGATGAAAACCAGTTATTGTCAACACAATAATTTATAATATGCTACGCAATATTAACAATGTTTAATTTGTCTAGACGATTAAACAATTTACTGGCTGTTAAGCAGTCAATGTTGTTGTACTTTAAAATATTATTAATATTGACTAGACACAAATATCTCAAATACTTTCCTAAATATTTGTATCACATAAATACTTAAATGAGTTTATTAATTCTGAAACCTATGACTACAGATTTTAACATTTTAATGAAGTTTATTTTCACTCAATACATTTTGAAGAAATTTAAAGCAAATAACAATAATATAATATTTGTAACATATTTTAGTTCTACTATTATAATTCACCAGAGCATTTTTCAAACCCTCGTGTGCCGGTTTAATCAATGCACAAGATTACCTGTTTTTGAGTGTATTAACACAAAATAAAACAAGTAGTAATCTTAAAAAATAAAATTATATTTCGAATCAATTTATGTAAGTAACAATTCAAAACCATTTTTTCATCCTAATAGAAAAGAGAAGAGGCTCTCCTTTACAATTACAAATACACATAAATACCATCATTAAATTTACTTTTAAATCAATCGATAAAACAAGGAATTTTTCCAGATATTTCTGAATTTATTTAGATTAAAATTAAACACTCAAAATTAGTGACCAATAACAATCTTAAATTATTTCACACGTTTATTTTAAAAATAGTTATAAACCAATTTTAAATATAAACCAACATGGATTCATGTCCAGCAGATTAACAACCACCCTTTTCCAAATTACCTACCAATTCCAATAAAAAAATTATTTATTGAAAACAAACAGGTGTATGATCGATTTAATTACAATATACTTATCTAAAAACTTGAATCTATAGGTCCTAATGGAAATATAGTTTGGTATATTGTTTCAAATTCTATTTAAGTGACAAAGTAAATTTTGTAAAAATAATGGTATATTCTTTCTAAATCGATTTATGTAACTACAGAATGTCCTCAAGATTAGTAGACCTATTTATCAGTAGATTTATTAACTATATTTTAATAACTTTTTTATGCTTAACAATTGCAATTGATGATTGCAAACGAGGAACATAAAAGTTATATCATAGGCAAAGCCAAGCAAATGTCAGCATTTGTAAAAGAACATTAAATAGTTAAACTTAATGGTAGTCAAGATCTTATATATATATATCAGTTATACATTCACACCTAGAATATATGTTAGTATAATATGGAACCCTGTGTTCAATGTAAACATTCTAAACTGAAGAAATCAATTTTGTAAATTTGTACACTATAAACAATTTAATTCAGATAAAAATAGTTAAAATAGTGTCTAATATACTTAAAAAAAAAAAAAAAAAAAAAAAAAACAGAAAAACCATAAGTGACTTTTATTTCTCTACAACCTTATAAACAGATTGATTGATTAATGCTTCTAATATAATTGAAGAATTTCGATTTTGTGAACCCACTAGAATCACAAGACTTCAACATTTTTTACACGTTTTTCCTTTAAAATCTAACAGATTACAAGGATCTATTGTAAACCTAGTTTCTAATTTAGTGAATAAATAACCTACAGAAGTTGATGTTTTTAATCCAACATTAAATCAATTTAAGATTAATATCTAGGGTATATCATCAGAATTACATATTACTATTAGTCTATCGAAAATTCTATATTTATTTATATGTGTTACTTTTGGTTTTATTATTATTATTGTATACTAATTTATTTTTTATTTTATTCACTTCCTTGTTTAACTCTACAAAATGTCTAAGTTTACTATGTGTTGTATTCCATTATATTCACTAAAAGGATATTTATCCGCTGATTTATATACATAAATAAACTTTAAATTTTTCTCTTGATTATATTAAAACTCAAATAATAAAATAGACCTACTTGTAATATTATAGAAATAATTAAAAACAATATTTTTGTTATAATTTAAACATGGACAATATAGTCAATGTAAAAAATCCAAGTCATCTACATTTCTAATACAGTCTAGATGGCAACATTACACATATGGTAATGTTAGAAAATTGTGCTCATGTTAATCTGTATTAATAATACGTGCATTTAATCAATGATGGTAAGATAACCTATAACTAATTATCTCAATTATAACAAATATTACTTTACCTCATCCCAATTAACAGTTATTTTAAGCAGTTATGTGCGGCTACAATATACAAGTGTGGAAATAACCAAAATACCATTATATAAAAATAAAAAACAACTATTTGCCATAAAAATTACTCGTTTATTTTAATCACAAAAATCTTACATAATTTTAATGCATTTATAACTTTTAAGTAAATAATAACATTTTATTTAAATAAAAAGTAGGTATATAATAAAAACAATAATATTATTAATAATAAGTCTATGCCACATTTAAAAGTGTGTGTAAATATTACAAGTAGAAGACTACCTAATAAGTAATTTAATTAAAGTATTAATAATTATATAGGTCATGTTATGCAATCAATAGTGAACTACAACAAATCAAATGCTAACAATTCACACACATAGCAGCTATATAAATGTTAAATAAAATTATTATAAACAATTTAAGATGGCCCTAGCTCCACCACCACTTTTTTTTAGGTCCAATTTGCATGGATATATCACTTGTGTTATTTACTACTTTAAATTTAACCAAACTCATTTGTTAATAAAATAATATATTGTATAATACAATGCGATTCAAAATTTATGTTACTGACATTTTATCATATAAATATTCAAAATAGAGAAAAAATATAATATAAAAGTTTATTGATTAATAAACATCTATAATGATTTGTAATTTAATTTTTTTTGTTTTTTTGTTTTTTTTTTTTTTTTACAGTACTTTAAGAAAGTTTCTGAGTCCAAATTTTGAAATTCAAATGGTATTTGTTTTTTTTTGTTTTTTTTTTTGAACACAACGTGAAGATATTTTTTAATATGTTTTAGTGATTAAATAGCATTAATTTATTTAAAACTCAATGATTAAAAGCGATTTAAAATTTTAGAAATTGCATTTTGACTGCACATTGATAAATAGTTAATAAGATCTCTCTTTACACATAACACTACGTTACTTCTCCAAATTAGTTATAGATGTATTAGAATCAATTTAAATCACTTTCAAGTATAGAGTTTTGAATAAATAAATGTTATTTAATAGCTAAAATTTATTTTGTAAAAAAGTATAGGTTCTAAATTGATATTCAAAAGTTGATTCCCAAAACCCAACTTCAAATACAGTTTAAAAAAATGTACAAATCATTTTAGATGTTTAAAAATCAAAAAACATTCATAGTTTCCTTTTTTTCTATTTTGAATATTTTCATGAAAAAATAGTTGTAACATAAATATTGATTACCCTGTGTATTCCAGGGTCGTAGCACAGGAAAGGGGAGGTCGAGGGTATACCACGGGCTTAATACTCGAAAGAGTTCAAAATACCCTAAAAACTACAAATATACTAAAAAAAATATGTATAAATAAATAATTTCAAATTTAGGACACCTAATAGTAAGATACGAGAGATAATTATAATAATCATATGAATTTAATTTGTAAAAATCTTTCCGTTTAGAGTTTTCAATAAAAATTAGAGTTTACAATATAAATTAAAGTTTACAATAGTGCATTTTGAAGTTTCGCACTGGGCACAATATTTGGTTGCTACGGTCCTGTATATACACATAGAAATAATTAAGACATACGGAAAAAAAAATTAAATCAACTACAACCTAAAAGAAAAATAAATAAAGTAGACCCATTAGATCCATGCAGTTTACAGTGTAGTATTGTTTTATAACTTTAATATTTTGTATTTTATAATTTTGTAATTTTGTAAAATTCATTAATTTATTACTGATTTAAAATTTTTATACAAGTAGCAGTTTAAAATGGTACAATAAGTATTATAGATTTTATTGATTGTAAATAATTTTATGATCAACAATATATAATTCATATAATATTTGAATGATAGTTTAAATTGTTATAAAATTAGACAAAAATTAAATATTTTTATACTTTTAAATACCATTTGTATTTTTAATAATTAAAAATCATGAATTATAATGGGTATTATCTTAGATTTTTGGAGAATATTAAACTGATCCTTTGAAATTGTTTAAATCTATAATTATTTTAAATGTTTAACTTTTAATAAATACATGATAAATAAATATCTCATACTGCAATTGATAATCAAACACTTTTAAAGAGAAAGACTGCTATTTGACCAAAATGTTTTTAGTTCATTGACTGAACCGTTGAATTTATCTCTATCACATAAGCCAACACCATTAACACCATGTGGCCTTGGACCTTTTTTTCCATTTGTATACTGCCATAAAACCCATTTATTCCAACCGAAAGGTAATTTAGGTAGGGAGTTGTAAAAGGCAACCCATAGTGGATTTTTTATTAAAACTTGACTATTGTAATTTTTTAAAATATTATAACTGCCGTATATCATGATAGTATTTCTTGTTCTATTCTGAACTGTATTAATAAAGTCTTCAGCTTGCTTTGGTGTTATTATGTTATTAGTTCTTGGATTAAGTTCAATATCTAATATGAGTAAAGTTTTTGATGTATTTCCAATTGTATTTAAAAAGTGTTCAGCCTGGGCAACACCATCATTATTAGTACCAAAATGATAAGCTCCCCAAATCAAACCTTCTTTTTCAGCAGCAATTTTTCTTGTACTATAGTAGATATCCTTTAATTTGATCCCCATTGTTGCCCTATGAATTACAGCTATAATACCATTACTCTTAACCATTCCAAAATCAACAATTTTGTTCCATGAAGATAAATCAATTACTACATTTGATATTATGGTATTAACATTTTCTAAAGAAATATATTATAAATAATTAATATAAGAAACAAAATTAATTTTAAAACCAATATAAAACAGATACATGACATAATGGCACATACACAATCCAAAATTAGATAGCAATGCATAGAGAAATTAAAATTAATGTTTAGTATACATTTAATTTTTTTTTTAATCACAAAAATAAAATAAAAAATGTATTATATACAAAATTTAAAAATGATTTAGGTTTTAAAATAAATATTTGTTAATTTTTTGTTTTTTATTTAATTATGTGGCTGGAATTTAATATTTTTTTTTATAGATATTGAGTTATTGATAATACCAATTCTATAAAATACAAATAAGGAAATTAATGTTTTTATGAGGATTTTTAATAGATGTTTAATTCAATCAATTAATTATTAAGATAAAACGATTGCATAACTTCAATTTAAAATTCAAAAGTGTTTTATGTAAATAAAAAACTGTGATAAACTATTGACAAAATTAAAGTACAAAAAGAAACTATAAAACCAAAAGCTTCCCTGACTGACTAAAAATATAAAAGTTACTATTATAATTATAATTCATTGTTAAAAGCCTTATTCATTTTTAAAAAAATAAAATATAACTTTTTAATAGAAAGAACTAATATTTAACTGTATAAAATACTACTCAATTTGAAAAATTCAATACTAAATGTTTTGTAGATACTAAAAATAACACAGTAATAATAGAAAACTAAATGTGGTAATATTTCTTTTATATTTTTTAATTTTAATTATAGGTATATATACATTAAACAATCTATAAGTTAATAATATAGTTTGTAAAAAAATCAAATTTTATGTAATTTGTATTTGTTAAGTAGTTTAGATTTAGTTATAAACTATAACCAATATTTATTTGTATATATGGCCTCAAAAAAGTGGATGAGATTTTAGTTATAGCATTACAAATAATGAAATAAAATAATGGAATACATGAAATGTTATTTTTAAATAATCAAAATTAAAACCATTTACAGAGTTTAAATAATTGAAATAATGTTATTATTTGATTTGTTAGTTTTACTACTCGAACAATTTCAATTAAATAACTATTATAGATTCTGAGTGGAGGGTAGAATGTATTGGTTTTACTGTTTTTTTTTTTGTATCTGTAAACAACTACCAGAAATCATTCAAAAAATGACAATTTAATTTTTTGTTGCATTTTGGATCAATTTAATGAGTAAGTAAATCATAACCAGAAAAAGATGTAAACAAAAAAAAAACTGACAAATTTATGATTTACAGATTTCATTATTTCTAATTTTTAATTTCTACTGGAAATCGTATTCAAATCAATAAATGACATGAAACCATTTTTGTTAATATTCACAGTATACACAACGTTTTAAAACAGTAGAATATCCACAACTCGAGATTTATAACATAGAATCTTTTCAATACATTAAGTTTTTGAGAAATAAATTATTGCAACAGTATACATAACATAGGGCTGGCGGTAGATAATTAAAATAAATAAGTACATAAAATATTAAATAAATGAAGTAAATAAATATTATCTTTTTAATTGATTCGTCAATCAAATTAATGAAATTGAATTTTAATATACCAGTATACATATTTATTTTCAGTATACCAATAATACCGACAACCCTAATATTACATTAATAGGAATAGTTATATTTTTTTTCAATTTGATATAAATTGAACATAAAGGTTTTGCTGTTCTATATAAAAAAAATATCTATATCAAAAAATAAAATAATTTGTTCTCAAGCTATTATGTTCTACATGAGATATTTAGTAGTAAGATGTTAATCATAATAAGTTATAGTTAATTAATGATACATGCAATACCAATATCAGCATACAGAAGACCATGTGTATTTTGTATCTTTCTGCTAAAAAATACACACAATGTAAGCTTATATAAAACATTAATTTGTAATACTTATTATACATGTTAATCTATAATCTAATTTTTAAAAACATTAAACACAAATATTATATTACCACCACCCATTATTAATTTAATAAACTATATATGTACTAAAAATGTGAACATATATTCTATCACTAGAATACATAAAATATGTTTAATATTCATAAAAAAAAGATTTAAACTATACTACTGAATAGAACTTATTTACGTGTAAAAAATATATTATACATTAAATTACCTGACGATTGTTTTAATGTATGTAGTGTAAAATTAACAATTGTAGAATGCAATTTTTCATTTTTGACCAAAATATCTTTTTGTATGGATGTAGTGTGACTAAAAAAAAAAAACAAATAAAGTTGATATTATGATTTTTAAAATAATTATTTTCATAATTCATAATAAAATTAAAATAATCTCTCTTTCTCTCTCTCTCTATATATATATATATAGTTTCATATTCATAGGTATGTTTGCAACCATGCTCCACTCTTCTGGAGTATCTGCTTTCCTTTTTATTCGTATACAAGTTAAATTTTTGGTTCTTTATTGATTAATGAATGTATTTTAATCTTAGTCAATCCCTCTACATGCTCTTCTTTAATTATTTATAATAATCTTTTGTCCCGTTTAGAGCTATATTTCATATGTATGTTTCAAATAACTTTTTTCTGATTTGTGGTCTAATATATTTTTATGTAAATAATGTTATTGTTAAATTATATTTTGACTTGATAAATATATTATATCATTTCACTATTATTTCATCTTCGATCAATGCTGATTGAACTTTCTAGGTATGTAAATTCATCCACTTTATCTATTATCAACTGATTTCCTCATAACTTTATCTTTACTTTGGTTTTATTTTCCCTTCCACATACAAGTACAGTGTTTTTTTCAGATTTATTTTCATGATCACATCCTTAAAAATGTTTCATCCAAGGTTTTGATTAATTTTTCTAAATCTTTCTCATTTTCAGAAATTAATACTATGTTATACTGTACAATTTTATGTCATCATAACATACTTATTCTCTGACAATTAATCTACCATCAATCATCATTGACAATTAAAATATAAAACATTTTTGTCAAAAATTAAATTAATTTTTCTTACCCAGGAGCATGAGCAGAAATAGTATAGATGCCAGGAAGTAAGAGTCTCCAATATTCTCCTCTGTGTGTTGTTTTAACAGTGTGATTTATACCTAAAATGTGTATAACAGCACCAGGAATTGGATTATTATTTTCATCTTGAACTAATCCTGAAAAATATATAATGATAATTATATTTTATTTTGTAAGATTTAAAAATTAAATAATTATATTAAAATTTTACCTTTAATACCCATATGAACACTCTCCATGTAAGCTAACATAGCTTCACGGTTATTTTCCCATTCTTCAGTTAACTTAGATGAAGGTGGGAATTTACAGCAGCTAAGTTCAATTGTTATTTCAAAACAGTTAGAATAGATGTAGTTAAAATCTTGCATTCCACCTAAATATTACTTATATATTATTTTACGTAGAAAATATGTAATAAATAAACAGTAAAATATTCTCAACAAGCTAAATTATAATTACATTTAACATTTGAATTAATTTCAAAATATATCATATATATACATGATATATTGTATACATATGATATATTGTATATATATAATGATTCAATCACAATGAAATGTATCAATATCGCGATTAACTATTTAAAACTAAAAAAATATAAATTGAGAACTATCCTTCCTGAGAGGGTTTTCAATTAGAAACATAAAATGTTTTAATATTAAAAAAAAAAAAATATACTTATATAACAATAAAATACTGAAAGAGACTGTCTTAACTCCTAATCAATGAAATACCCCCTATAAAGGTGCCACCAAATGTATTATTTCTAATAAAATCTAATTCATATTTCTATCATATACAGATATAAATTAAATTACTTTATATATCCGCCATTTTAACTTCTCTCTTATAAAACAATTAATCTCTCAAAAGTTTTTTTTTTTTTTTTGTTATATACGTGTAAATTTGTTTTTATTGATCAGAAATACTTGAATTTTTAAGAAAATCATAAGAATCATACGGAGTCCACGTAAAAACTTAAAATGTATAAACTTGGACTGTACAAATCTGGAATATAAAATTTTGAAATCCGTAAAAATCTAAGATATTTTATCTAGTTAGTAATTTAAGAAAAACTTTTTTAGATTTTCAAGCAGTTATCGTAATAATTGAGAAAAACCAGAAAAAAAAAAAAATGAAAAAATAAAAACTGATAAATTTATAATACAGTTCTTTTATTTTAAATTTTGTTTTCTACCAGAAATATTACTCTAATAAAAAAATTACAAAAGATCATTGTTGTTGCATTTTTAATCTAGAATACGGATAGGAAAGTAGTTTTTTGATTTTCCATGTAGTTCTTTTTAATTGAGCAAAACCAACGAAAATAATGGTTTTTTTATTTTCAATTTTATTATTTTGTTTTCATTCACTAAAGAGAATTGAAATTTGAATAAAAACTTATGTTTGCGTTTTCTAGACATGGTAAGATTTTCAAAAAATGTGAGCCTTTTTTAAGCTATTGATGGACTTTTTAATTTTGCAAGTGTTTTTACATAATTTTTGTTTACTATGGATAATATTGTTAGATTAAACAGAAATACTTAAAAATTCAAATAAAAATAAACTATAAAGTAAACCATAGTTTTTAACAAATATAAAAACTTAAAAAGGAATTTTTAAATTGTTCTTATTGATCATTAAATTTGGAAAATTGTGAAATATAGACACTAAAAATCAGTGTAAATAATAAAAAAATTTTACGTGTATACATAATTATTCTTAAAATAAAACACTAACCTTCAAGTTCATACCACTCTGCACCATTAGTAATACCATTAGGGAAATTATCTTCTTGACAAGCAGATCCATTAATCATATTAGGATTTTTTGAGGCATAATTCTTTGATAACTGTTTAAACAAAACATCATCGGGTGTTTTTCCTTCTTGAGAGAAGCTTCTAATATTGAAATATTAAAATATTTTAGTTTTTTAGTTTGGAAAAGTTCATTGTGATAGTAAAAAAAAAAAACAAAAACAAAAAAAAAAAATGCACAAAAAAAATTAAATCTTTAACAATAATAACTCAAAAATTTTTTTTACCACAATATTGTTACATAATAACAACAATTAAAAATATGGTTAGAACTAACTACAATAAGAAATTGCGTAATGTAAATACATAATAATTTATAGTTGAATTTACTGATACCCAAATTTAATGCTTAAAATAAATAAAAAATAATTATGTATTTAATATTAACACCAAACAGCTTTTACATTAAGTAGTAAGTTACAAAAGAGAATAATAATAATAATAACAGTACATAACTGTTTGCTTAAGGGCTGCACATAAATATAGAGGTAACTTTATTATTTATACTGTAATGTTTAAAAGAACAGTCTAATATACCTTATAGTAATTAAGAAATTGTTTAATTTATTAAAATAAATTTATAAAATTGAGATACAGAGACCAGTTGTAGGACACTTGTCTCGCTTTTCTTATATATTAACAAAATAGTAGAAATGCATAATTATTTCAAACTTTAATGCAATTATTGTATTCGAAATTAATTTAAGTTTAACATGGAATATCCAAAAAACAATTTGATTGTAACAATTTATTCCTTTATTAGTAAACTAAGATTCCAAAATACAAAAATAAAAACAAAATTTAATGCAATTATTTCCAATAAATTTACATCATAGAGAATATAAGCAACATTTTAATTAAATAATGTAATAGAAAATTATAGCGTGGTTTGAAATTTTGAGAATAATTTATATTTCACAAAAAAACTAATATTAATTAATAAAAAAAAAAAAAACGTTTTCATTTGATTTCTTTTCTTGATTAGTGGCAGTTTCTAGGATATATAAAAAATTTACCAATTTGTTCATCACTTTTGGGTGATATTTTAGAGCAGCCTTTTTATGAAAATAGTGATGTTTTCAAGCTTTCAATGTTTTTAAAACATAAATAATAATTTCATCAAAAAGTTGTTTACATAAAAATTAATGAGTAAAAATAGATTTAATTACCTATAATTTTTTTTTGCAAAAAACTAATATTAACAAATTCTCAGACGTTAGAAACTGAAATTTTCAATAATTATTGATAATCAACCCTTGGTATTACCCCTAAATATTTTTTTGTAAGGGTTTAAACTATTTTCATTGAATACCTCATAAAATTAACTATATAATATATACTTGTTAAATTATTCTAAATTAGAAAAAAGAAAAAATATTTTTCATAATTGAGAAAAAAACTGAGATAAATATTATTAACAATAAATTTACTCAATAACAAAAGAAAAATAGAATTTAAAAAGTTGAGAAAACCTAAGATGAAATAATAACAAACAAAAAATACAAAAACAATAAAAAATGAAATAAGAAAATAGAAAAAAAACTAATTATAAGTACTAAAAATTATGAAAATATACAATTACAACAATTGAACCACATTGAAACTCTTGCTGGACTACTTCTAAAACCACGGTCTGCAGCGAAGCAATCTCACAAAAATATGTCTATCTGTGTTGCAAGGACACATAACATATAATCAACTATCATTTATACTCTTAATTAACAATTAATATTATAATAATTTTATTTTTTTTTTGCTATCTATTTATTTATTTAATTTTTATCTTTATTTAATTTAATTTTATTTATATTCATCTATATTTTATTCTATTTTATAAGCTATGTATGAATGTATTGAACAGTAAAGTAAGGCAACTCACAAAGTGTTCAGTTCGCTATATATTTATATTTACATTTATATTAATAAAGTTCTTTATATATAATTAATAATATTAAATCAATTTCCTTAATAATTTCAAGTGTGTAAATTTAAATTTCGACAAATTCGTTTTTTTGATAAGAGATTTTGTTGTACGTGGAATATTCCTCCTATGTGACTCTATAATCTGCAAAAAGTATTCGTTTTCATTTTATTTTTTTGTCAAAACAAGAGTTAAATTCTTATTATATAAATGTGGCAACACTTCTTTCTGCAAAATCATTTATCACCATCCAACTTTGAACAATCTCTCTACCTTTTGATGAAGTCAGATAATTCTTTTTTTTGCATTTTGTTTTCTTTTACAGCTACATCAACAGGGGAATTAACAGTACCACCATGTCTCAAAGCTATGATTTTTTTTTTATCTTCAAGTGAAACACAAGAATCAAACCTGAAAACCATTCACTTAAATAACATAACTGTCCTAAAAATTTTTTTAACGTCACTTCCCCTATTTTTTAATCAACACTATTGCATTAGTATTATTTTTTTTTTATGTTCTGAGAAAAGAACTGTATATTGTAGTCGCAAATTATTAAATTATTGTTTTTAATTAATCATAGATTTTTCTCAACTATATAAATTATCAAATTTAGAACAATTAGGCAAGTACATATATAGTTTCTATAGTACATTTTATAAAAAACAAATAAAAATAGTTTAAACTCTTACAAAAACTATTTAGGAGTAGGTAGTATTAAGGGTTGGTTTTTAATAATGATTAAAAATATAAGTTTCTAATATCTGAGAATTTGTCAATAATGGTAAAAAAAAAGTTTAAGGTGAGTGGATCTATTCATACTCAATATTTTATAAACAAACAATTTGTTGATTTATTGATAAAATTATTATTTATGCTTAAAAAAATTAAAAACTAAACACATCATTTTTTTCATAAAAGGGCTGCTCGCAAACCCCTAAATATCACTAAGAAAAACTGTTTTTTAAGTACATAATCTATGGTTGCATAATAATTATTATATAACTCAAAATGAATGATAACAATTATTAAATGCGCATAATATGTGCGTGTGTGTGTGAGAATGTGATCGATGATTATTATAATTAAGTAGACTGAATTACTTGGAGGTGATTGAACAATATTTAAGAGTACGGTACACATGCATTTGTTGTTTCCATCATACAAACGCACTATATAGTTAAAACATGCTTACGCAGACTACACACAACTCACTTATTTTTAGTTTAGAATAAAAACACCTATTATAAAATCAAAAAAGAACAATATTTCGAATGGCAAGACGTTTCATTTTATCCATTTGCTCAAAGTATAACAAGTCAATTTACCGTTTATAAATAGCAACTTTTTTAAAGTTTTTTTTAATTACCTAAAACTTAAAAAAAATAATAACCTTTTTTAAAAAAAGACAATGTCTTTAATTCTCTAGAATTATTATTATATTCCCTCTAGAATATTGTTCTCTATTAATTTCATAATAGGTGCTTTTACCTAAAATCAAACCTATATGTTCTATATAGTCTGCATGTTTTTACTATATTTTGTGTTTAGTAAGACAGAAACAACAAATACATGTGTAACATCCTCTTAATAAAGAAGTATTATTATATATTATTCTCTATGTTGTATATTTAAAAAAAAAAATTGCTATAATTTAAAAATTCTGTACACTATACACAGTGCCCCACAAAGAGTATATTACAATGGGTATATTTATACCTATTGTAATATTTCTGAAGATAATCAAAATAATCAAATTCTGATTTTTTTATACTGGGATAAAAACTATAAATATTTAAAATGCAATTATTTTTTTGTTTTGGTAAAAGTTTGAAAAAAATATTTTATATTATTATTTTTGAAAAAATTGAAGATAACATTAAACATTTTTATAAAAAAAAAAACTCATTAAAATGACCATCTTTAAATTTTTCAAAATAATAAAATAAAGTTTTTTTTTTTTTTAAATTTTTACCAAAACATGAAAAAATAATTGCAATATAAATATTTATAGTCATTATCCCAGTGAATAATAAAGAAAAAAAAACAGAATTTGATTATCTTTATTGTCTCCAGAGATATTGCAATGGGTATATCTTTGTGAGACACCCTGAATATATAGTTTAATGATTATATCAAACAGTATATCTATATATAGAATAAAAAATAATGTAAATGCATCTCTGAAAAAATCTAATCTAAAAAAGTCAATTATTCGACCTTAGGATGGAATATTTTATGAATGAATTTCAAAAAATTGTAATGATTAAATTTATCCTAGAATTATAATGAATTATATTTTTTAGTGTAATTACATTTACTATCTGGCTTATTATTTATAAGTGATTGCATTTACATAGCATAACAACACTCATCATTAAATCAAATTATTAAAAGGAAAAAATATAAGTTCAAAGTACATTTTATTATACAATAATAATTCAACAATTAAATCAAAGAACATAACACCTACATATTTCTGTCTCACTAACAAATAACTAGACTGGATTTATATGTTCTTAAAATCCACAAAAAAGCACTTGAAAACATTAAAAAGACTTTAAAAAAATCACTTAAAAACATATAAAAACGCAAAATTAATAAAGAGGTTTATTAGTCTCCTTCCCTCTAACGGATTTAATTTATAAATACAATTTTCTAACACCACAAAAATAATTAATCAAAAGGAATTATTTTATTATTATACATACAATTTTTTTTAAGAGAAATTATTTGTATGAATCAATTATGTAGTGTTGGGAAATTTGATTTAATAAGTTAGAGCTATTAGTGGGGGGACTTTTGAAATCCTTTATCATTTTTGCTTTATTAAATGTTTATAAATACTTTTTTCAAAGACTTTTTGAGGTTTTAAAGCGCTTTTTTGTGGATTATAAGAGAATATGGATCTGGTCTCTACAGATGACACATCAAATTTACATTCAGCAAAACAAATTTTGAGCTGTTGGTTTTAAAATTGAGGAGAATTATTTAGCCTATTTTCAAACATAAAGATTATGTTAGATTAGTTTTAAACAAAATACAGTATCTGAAAAATGTTTTTTCTTGATTAAAAATTTAAAAAAAAAACTATTTACAAAATTATTACTTTACTTTTCTTATACAATTATAATATTATTACCCTTAAGTTGGTCACGGTAATATAACTATATCTTATAATATATCCTAAAGTTGATCTTGACGAACTCAAATTTGATGTCGTTTTTTGTAAAACAGAGACAGCAAATGCGGATATCAGAACATTTTAATAATTATATTTCCAATATAATTTGGTTTTCTAGCATTTAAGTACATAACCATGGATCCTTTTTGGTGATTAAAATTTACCTTGAATACTATGTGCAATACTAAGTGCAACGTACAGTTTGTAGTATATTGAAAAAATAACAATAATAATGATTGTTACAGTAACGAAATATAAAAGCTAAGAGTATTAACAAATCCAAAGATAGCATTCCAAATTGTATAAAATTAAACGAATAACCAAAGCAAAACCAATGATTTTATAGCAGCTCTAAAATTCATTTAAATTTAAACCCATTGGTACTTACATACAAATTGACCCATCTCCTGAATGCTGTATGATAAAATAAAAATTAGAAATTATATTTTATACCAGATTACTTAGATTTTGATCTACATTTATTTAGAACATATTAATATTACTAGGTACTTATGATGTAATGTTTGTTAATATAAATTAATTTATTATTTGTGCATTAAATATCTTATTTTGTATACAAATATAATAAAGCTCAACAGAATAGGTATAATAGCAATTTAATAACAAAAATTTGGAATTAATACCATTAATATTAAACTCAATTAACTAATTACTAGTTTGTTAAAACTAAGTGCAAGTTTACAACAGTAAATGTATATAAGTACAGATATTTTTGATTCAATTTGAATCATAAAATAATAATTAATAAAATCATTACAATTATTTTTTCTGTACCCACAACAAATATTAAGCTTTAAATAGCAAAATAAAAAGTTGTTTTAGAATAATACTCAATAAAATATCACTATAGTATCAACTAATTTTTCTTTATTTGTAATCAAACTGATTAACTTATAATATTACTAATAATATTTACTAGTAGTAATAAAGTTAATAATAAATAGTTGATATCTTAATTAATTAAAAAGACTGTAAATAATTAATATTGTAATATTTTCTATTAAAATTCAATTTAAGTAAATAATGATATTAAAGCAGATTGATCACTAGGCAACAACTAAAAGTTTTCAATAATTTTAAATAAGATTTTTGTTAATTAATTAACAGCTAGACAGATTCCATAAGTCACTAGTTATATAGGTCATCTTTGAACACTAGTAAAATGTGAGCTAAGACACATGTGGCCAATTATCAACAAACAGTTTGAGTATAAATATATTTTATTGATTCATATTGAAATTAAATACTTGTAATTTTTTTTTATTTTTATATAGTTAATATTTTATGTTTTAATATTACTTTTAAGTTTATTGTCATTTATGAAAGTGAAAAAATTTAAAACAAATGCCATATTTTCTTGATGTTGTAGTCAATTTCAGCATACCAAACTTTAGGAACCTAGATCCACTATTCTTACAGTAAAATTTTTACTATATCAATTTCTACTCTGAACAGTAGACAACTAGGCACATATTTTAAAACTTAAATTCAGTATCACTAATATAATTTAATTAAAATTATATTAAAAAGTGCATTATTTAAATTGATGGTAATAATAAAAGTAAAACTGTAAATATAAATTTTAAATTAAAATCTACTTAGATTTGTAAATACAAATTGCAATGTTATACTTATTTAACTTTACTAATAGAATTTAGAAAAAATATAGAATAATCATAAAAGTAATAAATTGTGTATTGAAAAATATGTTAGAAAGAATAAAGCATACAGAGCCAGAAGTTAATCATAAGATAACTAATATTTATAGTAAATAAATAGGTAAAAAAAAAAATGTACATATATCAAAATAAGAATAAATTAATTAATAAATGAATAGCCTGATTATGATAAGTGTATTATATAGGATAGTTTTGAATTAAAAATTCATCATCAGGTATATCACAGTCTAAATGTAATATACGACTGAATACAAAAAAGAGCTGATACTCGGAACGGGTGCAGCTACTGTTGTAGATGAAGGGAAGGTAGGATACATAAGATTATTTCGTTTATACCTGTAAGCAATGATAAACCATTGCTGACAAAAGACGATTCCAAGGTAATACATAATTTGAAGTGCCGACGTTTTTGGCGGTTTTTTGGTTAATTTGATTTCAAAATGCTTATAAAAAAAAAATTCAACAAAAATATGATCTCTTATAGTTTTTCAATTGGATTCATATTTATGCTTGAAAACTTAGTAGGTACTTATTTAAAATAACAAAATAGTGAATAAATCGTATTTTTTTTCCCCGGTTAATCGTTTTCATTTTAAATACAGTTTCAAAAATCAAAAAATGACCTATGTATATACCAAGTAGATAAAATTATCTTTCAAAAAAGGTGCTACATTTATACATCGGAGCAAGTTTTCTAGGATAAAAGTGGTCTAGAGTATATATATATATATAAAAAAAAACAGCATTGTAAAATCAATAGGTCCCAAGTTACATTTGGAACCTAAAATTAAATGAAAGAATACTTAGAAAAAACTTTACATATTGGTCGTTTTACATAGAAATAATTTATTTTAATAGGAGAGATTATTTAAAATGGGTTATTATTAGACATAGGTATGTAAAGAAATATAAATCATTTGGTTATTATTTATAATCTAAAACGTATTGATACCAATAAAATATCATTAAAATTATTTTTCTTTATTTCATTGTATATATGTAATTCTTCTAAAACTGGATTAATGTAGATTATTTTGGGTACTTAATATTTCTAAGTCTGTATTAATATCAAAGATTACATCATGGTTATTTTTTTAAAACATGTTAAGTGAAATTTCAATTGGGGGCAGTCTTTTTTAATTTTTATTTCAGAAATGTATATCTTATTTTAAAATTTCTTTTTGTCTAACCTATATAAAATTGATTACAGTTGCATTTAAATTTATATATAGCAGCATTTTAAAAAGAAGGGGGATTTTTTGTGAAGTTTTTAGTTCTATTGTTTATATGTTTGATTAAAATATTATTAGTCTTAAAAACAATTTTTTCATTATTTGTATTATCGTTCAGAATTTTAGCGAATTCATTATTTTAGTAACATTTTATTTTGATATTTCATACTATAATAGTTAACGACATTATTTGGTAAATTGTGTATTATTTTTTTTTTAATACATTTATGAATTTTTTTTTCATAGTAATTAAATTGAAATTATTTCTATGGGCTATATTATAGATAATATAGAGCTCGTGTTGATAATGTGTATGGTGTTTATTTAATGGAATATGTTTAAGCCTATAGAATATTTAATTAAGAAAGATATTTTTAGAGAATAAGAGTGATTAGAATCATGTGGTATTATAGCATCAGTTTGTGTAGGTTTCTTGTAAATACTAAAATCAAATTTATTGTTGATTATGGAAACTGTAAGTTTTAAGAAATTTAATTTTTTTTTTTTGTATTTCAAGTGTAAATTGAATGTGTTTATTTATTTTGTTTAAGTAGTTAACTAAATTGTCTGCTTGCCTATTTGAACCTCTAAACAAAATGATTGTGCCAACAACATATGTAGCTATAATATGATTTTATATATGGACTGTATATTTTCTGGTTAATAATATTATTGGTTTTATAATTTTGCATGTAAATTTCAGATAAAAGAGCACTTAAAGAACCACTATCCATAACTAATCCATCTTTTTGTGAATATAATTTATTATTATGATAAAGTCTAAATATTTAACAAGGTTATAAGCTGGAACAGTTTTAAAGTTAATTAATGGACAAATCAGATTATCTTGTTTATGTAATTTTATGAATGGATATAAGTAGGGAGCCTCTATTTTGTAATCAGATTTTAGATAATAAATAATAACCAAATGATTTACAATTCTTAACATATCTATGTCTAATCCATCAAAAAACCTAACCCATTTTAAATAATATCTCCTATTATAATAAATTATTTCTATGTAAAACGACCAATTCATTTAATTTTTTATATTCAGTCTCATTTTACATTTTGACTGTGATATACCAGATGATGAATTTTTAATACAAAACAGGTCATATAATACAATTATCATAATACTCCAGACGACGCATTAATTCATTTATTTTGTATTTAAATATTTATTTTCGAGTATTAACCATTTCAATAATTTTGTTTTTATTTTATTATTTTATTAACTAATATTTATTTATAGAGAATCGAATAGTTGTTTATTTGCTCAGGGCACCTATTATTCAAGCGCTAACACTAATAAGAATGTAAGACTAACTATATTCATAATACAATAATGATTGTTAAGTTTAATTTCACATATATTTATAGTAGATTATCTTCCCTGGTTATTTGTAAACTGTATAAATTAATTAATAAATATTATAAATTCAAGTCTTACATACCTATAGTACTTGTCAAAGGGATAACTGGCAACAACAGCACCACCATGAAAGTTTGCTGACAATACAAACGGATTATTAAGGATCCAGTCTATAACCGCTCTAGTTTCTGGTTGTTGCATGTCAAAAGATTTTTTATCTATTTGTGGGAAGTTTCTGTTTAAATCTATACCTTTCGCATTATTTCGTCCAGTGTAGTTTTTTTGAGACAGACAGTCACCTTCCTAAGACAAAAAAATATAAAAATTATATTATTTATTAAATAAATTATATGAATTCAAAAAATGATTATACATGTGAAACAGAATATCCATCAGGATTAAGGGTAGGCATAATATAAATATCAGTCGTGTCCACAATTCTAGTAATACGTTCATCTGTACCATAATACAATGTCAAATATTGAGCTAAATATAATAAAAGTTGCAAGCCAACAGTTTCATCTCCGTGCATATTTGCAATGTATTTGAACATTGGCTTAAGAATTCTTCTATTTGATCCAACATTTGATGTTATTTCTATAGCCAAAATATTTTGACCCAAAGATGAAACACCAATTTCATGAACTTGTGCTAAAGTTGGATACTGTTTTTCAATATCATTAAGTAGATTAGATATTTCAGAAATGTTGTAGTATTTTTCATCGAGAAAATCTTCTCGCAATCTGACCTCGCGAATGGACATGCCACTGACAGTCATTGAAAAACTGGTAATTATACAGAAATTTAATAAAAGTGAATACATTTTAATGGTAATATTTTGATCAAAGTCTATGAGATTCAAAAAAAATTAAAATAAACTATAATAAAGCTGCCGAGATTCATTAAATTGACAAGTATTGTGTATTAAATAATATTTTGTTCACTAATAAACATTTAAACGGTTGGTGGAATTACTCATCAACCACAATACGAATCTATACTACTTAACAGTTAACATTAATAATTATGACTAAATGCCGTCAATTCTACTACTACTAGACTATAGAAAAAAATGAAAAGAAAGGGTGAACGAAAGAAGTACAATGTATATACTACTTGCTACGTATACGATCCAAGTGATAAGAGTTATCATAACCACCACCACCATCACCACAGTTTAGAATATATGTTCATGCCAAACCCATAGAATAATATTTAATTACTCTATGTGTCCACCACAAACGTCCTATCTTTTTCCCTTATTCAAATATGTTAATTTCTAATTACATTTTTAGATATTAATTTACATTGTACATTGTACCACTGAAATAATAATATACGAGCCATGAGTCTTCGAGTAAAGTTGTAGTTTGTAGTTGCATCTGGTAATAACAATAACAAAAGAATGTAATATGTATATACCTCATAAGAAAATTAAGTTGTGACTGGGGACAAACCTAGACTATAAATACAAATATTAAGATCAAAACTTATCATATAATAAAAAATGTCTTATCTAATATCTATTTATTCTATAGGGCAAACTCATTTATTACTACCATTTATTATATTAAATTAAGATAAGAATATTATCTATAATTTGCAATCATACATTTAAATGGTTTGAAATTGTTTTTGATGATGATAAAAAAATAGTATAGTTGTCTATGCCACAAACTAGTTTGTTTAACGAATTTTTGACATTTATAATATATATATAGTAGGGTAGAGTAGCATGCTTAGTTGCTCAATACTCAAAAGTAATTAACTAGCAGACAATAGTAGTTGTCATAAAGCTGTATCTGAAGTTCTACCTTACTGATTTGCGTGATTTTTTTTTTTAAAGCTAGTGTTCGGTGTGTAAATGAGTTGTTAAATGAAGTTCTCCGTGTAGTTACATATCGACGTGCATTACCCAGTGGAGAATCCAGAGGGGCCTAGGGACTTCGGCCCTCTCTCACCACTTTAACAACATATTTTTGTTTACACAAATATTTTAAATTGTGTAACACATTATAATTAATTATACAATATCTATTTTTGAAACCATTGGTAAATGGGAATGTGAAATAGTTTTGCTTCTAAAAATAAGTGCAGATTAGACTTTGTATTATAGAAGTTATTTTAAAATAAAATAATTAAAATATATTATAGTATGATTATTATAGGTACCTAATTAACATAAATGATTCTTAATCCAACCATAATAAAATTAATAACATTCCCAATAGGATTTTTAGGAACACATAAACTGAAAAATTATTATGCATATATGGCTTAGAAGTAATTTTTTTAAGAAGCCCCCAAATTCAACCTTGGATCCGCCACTGAAATTACCTGACATTTGCACGCATACATGCTTACAACCACTACGTAGTTACACCTATTGTGGTTTATCATTTATTGTTGTCTGGAAGATTGCAATACAGCCTGTGCACTCTTTACGCACACATATTAGTTATTTATTTTGGTTAAATAATAATTAAGTATTTACTTATTAATTAAAACCTACCTATATCACAAATCCGTACTGTGAAGTGAACATGTATACTATTTTATGTGGCGAGGAAAGCAAAAATATATTTAATACTCTATATAGTAGACAGCCATCAATAACATTAAAAAACCTGAACAATAAACATCACATAATTTTAAATTTTACTGAAATATTAATAATTTCACATATATTTGTCCTTAAAATAATATAATATATATTCCTAGAATTTTTTTTTTTTTTTTGTAGTGTCAAAAATTAATAAAAATAACATAATTATTAATAACTTAATCCGAAACATTTTTGTAAATCAATTCTTTCTTTTTTCTCGGCAACACAGTAATAACTTTTTTATTAAAATTAAAAATATTATTTATCATAATTTTTTTCAATTAATAACATGGATAATGCTGATAGTAGATCTTCTGATATAGTGCTACGCAAAAAAGTTTTTATCCTCTTCAATGTAAAAAATGAACGTTCCGCTTCAGCAGTAATCATGAGTATAGTTATAATAACTTTTAAAAGATTGGATGTTTCAGAAAACGTATCAAGTAATTGATTTTCTATAATAAAGTAAGTAAATTTACTGCTGTCGACATGTTTTTAAAATTATTTCGTTTATAGATAACTTGTAGCTCAGTTTTTAATTTATATTTATCTAAAAATGGGTATATTTTTACAGTTTTTTCAAAGTAAATTAGGGGAAAGTTTTTTTCAAAAATGTTTATTAAAAATAAGTTGAGTTAGCTACAATAAGATGTCCTTTATGCTTATAAAGTTAACATTAATAATAATAGTGTCGCACACTTCTTTTGCTACAATATTTCTAGTTAAATACATATTTTCTCGTTTGCTTTTAGCTGCAGATTCATCTTCATCTACTTGTATATTGTCTAAATTATCTCTTACTTTCTTAATATTAATTTCAAAATTATGCATTGCATTATTTATTTCTACCGGACTAGTACTTCTTTTTTGTAGTTGGTTATAAATAATATCTACGTGAGACATGATAAGATGGAAAACATTCAGCCAATAAATAAAAGTCGATTTTAATAACATTCTACGTAGGGCTCCTGCCTGGTTAGTTGTGATAGTTTGATTTGAAGTAGCCTCGATTTTATCCATACATTTAATAAGTAATTCTCTATTTGCATAAACTATATTAACAACTTTACTTTTAAAATTCCATCGGGTCTCTAGTGTTAGGCATCCTTTTTTTAACTATCTTGTCTAAAACTATAACTCTTTTCTCGAGGAGAACGCGTACAAAAATTTGTTATGTCTGTTAGGTTAGAAAAAAATATACGAGTTTCTTTACTTTTACTAGACGCAGCTTTCATAATTAGATTTAATTGATGGGCATAACAGTGGACGTAATGCACATTGGGATAGTCAGATATTATTAAATTTTGTACCCCGGATATATGACCAGTCATGACATTAGCACCGTCATAACTTTGTGTTATTAATTTTTCTTTATCGGTTAAGACATTTTGAAGAGTAGATTTAATACATTCGGACAAACACTTAGCATCATGACCAGTTGCATTAAAGAAGCCCCAAAATTGTTCTACGGATGATCCATGTATAAGAACATATTCGAAACATGATGGACATTTGAAAAAAGTTGGATATATTCGTGGTTTCATCAGCTATAATAGAAAGAAAGTTAGCTTCATTATTTTCAGTTTTAATTTGGTTCTGGCAAAAAATAAGCATACAGACTAAAATATAATTTTGAATTTCTTTTAAAATACCTTTAAAGACAGTAGCTTTTTCTAAATGAGCTTTAAATGTAGTGTCTAATTTTGCACTAAAATTTATAATACCTCTGAAAACCCTTGGATTTAATCAATTTTTTCGTGATGATCACGTAAAGCAAGTTCGAATACACCACAAAATCTTATGCAATCAATTATTTCAGACAAAAAGTGCACTATTTAATTGTTAACGAATATCCAGTTTTCCTAACAATTTTAAGCTTAGCTGAGCATATATATGGGTTTGGGTTTTTCCGTGAGATTTTATTTTTGCTGATAAATGACAAAATCATCAATATCTAATTTACTTCAACTTATTTCATTGAATCGACTAAAAATAACACACGGGAAACAAAATAACTTATTATATAGTTACATCACAACCACAGATCTAATCATTCTTTAACAATAATTATACTTCGTTTCGGTCTACCTTCATATTTAATTTAAATTTTTTGCTCCAATGACAATAGAGAAATATTTATCTAATCAGTAAACTTACGGCGTTTTGTTGAGACATTTTGAATTCTTGATAATAATGTTTAAACCCGGGAATTTAAAACCCGTTCACGATACGTCTTAGGATAAAACACTATACGTGATACCTCTGTCGGAAATATCGCGTACACTGTACAGTAAATACTAAATAGTAATACAAAAGACGTAATTTACAGGCCAAGCCACGGAACTACGATATCATAGAGATAATAATAATATTGTTTGTACAATAAATGATCATGTCTAGTGTAATACAGACAATATAATATTTGAACGTTGTTGCTAAAAATAGTATAAGTAACGAGTTTACGACAGATAGCATGGGGCTCGTTTCACACTTATACGGTTTGGTTCGGTTCGGTGCGTATTCGATTCGTTTTCGGTAGCTACCGAAAACGAATGAAAACTCTTCTCACACATTCGGTTAGTATCGGGTTTAATTTCACAACCGAATTATCAAATACGCAGTCGCCCACTATGTCTACAATGCTCACTATAGTGAAAAGGCAAATTGTTACCATATTATTTCTTTATAGAAGAATCAAAAAACGAAAGAGGAATAATCGACTTCACCGGGTATACCCTATCCTCACCAAACGAGTGGAGTTTGGTGCATTTTATACCCTTTTTCCGAAATTAAGGGAGTACGAAGACAAATTTTCAAATTGTTGTATCCTACAGCACTACACGTGATTGGACTGATGAAATTAGCCGATGAAATGAAATAATATTTTCCCTAGCCGATATCGTGATCGAACCGAAACTAAACCGTATGTGTGTAAACAACCAATTGCTTTGGTGAACTTTGGACCCGAATCGAAACCGATTCGTTTCGATGGGGCTTTCGGTTCTATCAGTTGTCTATTAGATACCGAACACACACCGTATCACCGTTTAACACTTTTTCGGCGGCTACCGAACCGAACCAAACCGTATAAATGTGAAACGAGCCTGATACGTCTTGTAAACGACCGCTGTCCACCACCCATACCCCGGCTGTTTGTATAATTGTATAGTAGTGAGCACAATCTGTGAAGTGAACAAAAAGCCACGATGAATATGATT